AAAAGGCAAGGCCGCTCTCAGTTAGCCAAAGCTCTCTCAGGTCATCCTAAAGTCTCAAGTTTTAACCCTCAACCATCATCATGAGCTCAAGACACAAGAAGAAGATCTGAGATGCATCCTTAAGTATAGGGTGAGGTCAAAAGCTCAAACATACAGAAGTAGCCTGGAGTACAATCGATGAACTTGTTGCACTGAAAGAAACCAGTTAAGGTGGTTCAGGATTCTGTGGATGGTTTTTGAAGGTTTCGGCCTTGTCTTAGAATCGAAAGCATTTTTATTCGGTCTTTACCGGTCATTACTGTGATTAAAAAGAAAGTGCCTTTACTTTACTTACTTGAAGTTACTTAAATTCATTCATCAGTTGATTTTTATCCCCCGGTTACGTCTGCAACCTTCCCTTTGTTATGGTCCAAGTGAGTGACAAAGCCCCACGCACACAAGATGATTTTTCATTGATATTTATGATCTTAGTCTTGACCCGGTCTCGATCCCGAAATATCTTAGTCGTGTCTCGGTCTCAGAGCACTCTGGTCACGGGAAATGTCTAGGTCTTGGTAAATGTGGTCATGACTACAACAGAGTACCTCCAATAAATCATATGCTCACTGTGGGATCATTGTTTTTGTTGTTTTTCTAACCTTAATTTAAAAAGGTTTTAAATATTTGATTGTTAAGTGTTTTCCCATTATGTAAATACTGCTGTATTTTATTATTTTAATTCAGCTTAGTTTTAATAGAAGTGTTGCTATTTTATATTTCAGAGTGATGATTAGTTGATGTGATTTTAATATCTGGCTAAACTTTTCCATATGGTGTCAATGCAGGACAATATGGAGGATTTTCTCTGGTAGTATTGTGAAGGTAAAGAGTGTGCTTGTGTGTGTGTTGGAAGAGGGGGGATGTCTAATTGAAGACATTTTCATTGAGAATGCAAGGATGGCACTTTTTTAACGAGACTTCTATTGTATTTTATATTACAATACAATAATTGGTATGATTAAAAAAAACGTTTCTGGTATAAGAAAAAAAAAAGCTAAGATTATCTGCAGCTGTAAACTACTGTAAGTGGCTCATTTTTAATCATCATACTTGTTTCTGTTCTCCTTTGAGAAAACTACCTTAAATCTGACACACTTTTTACATGGATCTTTAAAACATAAAAAGTCATGGTTATATTTAATCAATGATTCAACCTGAAACACATTAGACTATAATTGTAAGTGAAGGAAACATTTGTTCCATAGAGATGGAAAAGCCAGAATGGACAGTGACAGCTGCAGACCGGGGTCATTTGTCCCACATATGCCTGTTGTGTCACTGGAGACAAACAACTAACACACACCAGGCTGTGGTCATGTGTTTGTGCGTTTCATAAAGCCCACCAATCCCCACGCAAGCCTGCTCCACTCAAACATGTTAATGTACCTGAGCTCTGCTCTAATTGGTCCCAGTGATGCTCGCCCTGCTCCACCTGTGTTCATGGGAAGCCTCCAGTCGGTCCTGCAGTCAGGCCCCCGCCACTGTGTGCGAGCGTGCAGGGCTAATGTTATGCAAACAAACACTTCTTTGTTGTTTGGCACTTCTTGTGCCGGCCCGCCACTGTGGAAGAAAGGAAGAAGGTAAGAAAAGGGAAAAGGAGAAGGAATATGGGGGATGCTTGAATTCATTAGTGTGATTACCTGAGGTGTGCTACTTTACAGGGGGTAATCTGTTAGCCTGCATCATAGCCTCCAAACTTCAGCCAGTCCGCTAATGAGCGCTTGAAAAAGTTAGTCAAGGTGGAGAGGTGCTTTGAGGAGCCGTACACCCAAGACAAAGGTGTTATTATATATGCTGGAGCTGAAAACAAAGGATGTTTATTATTTTTACAACCGCTAAGACCAATGAAGACTGATACTGTTTTCTGATTTGACTCTGAATGTTCACAACAAAATGGCTCTGTGGACAGTATGACAAATGATGAAGTCAGAGCCTAGGAACAAGTAATGCTGGGCTCAGAAGCTCAGCATACTTGAAAGCGTGAAATTTCTGACGACAATACACTGTAGTGCAACCAAAAGTGACAGTTTGACTGATCTGCGATATTAGAGGCCACATTTTCTACACCATTTGAGACAACAACTCAGATTAGCCATAAGGACACCAGAGGGTTCAGGTAGCCACTTTCAAAGAGTCGCTTCTCTCTGAGGTGATGTTGAGGACTAGAGTTTCCCTCCTACGCAGAAAGAGAAGGTGGATTAGAGACCAGATCAACCCCTCTCTCATTCTCTCTCCTCTTTTCTGCCCAGAAGCTCAGGCCACGGCTTTAGAGAGACAGCAGCCATGAGCAAGGCTTAGGACAGTCCACAGGGATGCAGAAAGTGTGAGTGTCAAAGAACAAGAAAAGTGCAGGAACAGCTTGGACAAAGCAAAGAGGTGAGATGGAGGGGAGAGAAACCCGAAAAGGGGAAGCCAGAGGATATATATAAATATATATAGACGGATAGATCCTGTAACTTCCCCTTCCTCTCCCCCTATGCCTCTGCCTTATCACACAGCATCAAAACATAGCTTTAGTCCCCGGAGTGGCTGGCCTTTTTATCTGCTCCCTAGCTTCCCACGGCGGGCCGCATCCACCCATAATCTGCTGCTGTTTCATGTCTGGAGTGCTGGAGAGGATGATAAGGGACTTGTTCAAGTGAAGATCAATGAGGTTGTATACATAGCATATGTGCATCAAGAGAGTGTGATTCCCTTTTTCAAGGTGGCATCTGATAGAATGAAAAAGAAAATTATACATGGTTACAGTGAAGATTCACCTGCGGGATATAAAAGTTACAAAAAATAATATCATTAGGCTTTTGGTTTAGATGTCCCAGCACAGTCATGGGTCAGTACCAAAAATTTAAGAGAAATTTCTGACCTACACAAACAACTTCTACTTTTTGTTTCAGAAACATCTCCCTGTGGATGAATCATGAAACACAGGCACAATACAAAGTGTAAACATGTTGCATTATATATTTGTCAAAAAACATTTGGCTGAATGTCACAAAGTACCTTGTTATTTAAGACGGTGCCAAGTGTCTGTGTGTGTGATATCAAAGCAGACTGATGTATTGGCAGCCATAGCTGTGGTGTGAAACTGTGTCAGTGAAGTAAGGGAAGCCACCAGAGGCTGTTTCCTCCTCACACCACAGCTGGCTGACGGGATCTGCGAGGACTAATTGTGCATCAGTTGGAGGCTGCAGATATCACAGTTTGTGCTTTGACTGTTCTTTGTAGTGCTACCGGCCTTCCCACCCAAGTGGCTCGCATCCTCAACACACCAAGGGAACTTAGAAGTTCAACAGCCTTGGGACACACACACACACACACACACACACACACACACACACACACACACAAACAAGACAAAGACGCACATACACAATTCATTGATCGACCCCAAAGTCAACCCATGACCCTGACCTCCTCTACCCCCTGCAGAAACAATCTCCTGAAGGAAATAGAGAAAAGAAAAAACACACACACACACACAACAAAGTAGAATTGAAAAGAAAGCAGTGTGAGGGAGAGAGAAAGACAAAAGAAAAAATGACACAGAGTTGATTATGTTGGAATGAATAAAAGGGGGAGGGAGGAAAACTTTACATTTGGAACTACTGATCAAAGTCATCCCCACAGGAAGCCTCTCTTAATGAGAGCCGTACACGAAAAGACAAGGAGAGAGTGAAAGAGAAGAAAAGGAGGGGATGTGACGCCATTCCTACACAGAAAATAAAGAGATAATTCACATACGGTGCCTAGTGGAAGACATTGGTGTGCGAGTGTTTCCAGTGGGTGGGGGGCACATTTGAAGGGTGTTTTCAAGATCGTTTTAATGTCTTCACTGAGGGAGCGTCAGAGGCAAGGCCAGGTTAATTAAACCCAAGGGAGTACCAGCTGAGGGGGCCCGCATTTGAATATGTCACAGAAATAGCGCGAGTGTGTCAGCCGAGGCCGGGGCTCGACGAGCAAACATGTTGACTATGCATTACAGGCTAAAAGGAAGAGAGGAACAGACACAGTCAGACTGAGAGGGGTGGGGGCTCCGGGATAATTTGCGTGGCACCGATGCTTTGCTCTTGTATCCCCACTGCGCCACCGGATTTCTCTGAGTTATTAATGTTTGTCATTAGCTGCATTACGCTGGAGGACAGTGACTGGGAAAAAAAACTGCAGAATTTATATGGGACAAATATTGACAATAGCTGGCTCTTGGGTATTGGAGGAGAAGAAAAGATGCAAACTATGTTAATGAATGGTAATTAACCACAAGGGTTTGTCTCTCCTGGATCCCAGCTAAATTGGTCCCCGAGTTGCAGCGAGAGACAGTCCTGGCCTAATCCTTTATTATAAAAAGATAAAGGAAAACGACATCATTAGCATATATTTGAGGAGGGAGGGGGATTAAAAAGTAGAATTATTTCATTTTAATTCCTGAACACAGGGTTCTGCACACCATTGTTAATTATACATCACAAAAAGAAGTGGTAAAGAGGAAAACAAAAGATAGCAGAGGTAAAGAAAGTAGCTTAATAAAAAGAAAGGAGGACTTAGAAGGGAGGAGTGTGTGGTCTCTTGTGTAGGATGCCAACGAAAGGACAAAGGAGACCAGGATCATGGTTTAATATTCAAAATGAATATTAAGAGGTTTAGGAAAATGGGAAACAGATAAAAGGGGTGGAGGTAGATATGTCAAGGATGAAGCCACTCCTCTAACACAGCCCTGTGCTCTGCTGTGCTGAGTGCCCACGTGGACCCTTGTTAATGATGTCAACAGCAGGGGTCACTTGTTACAGACAGAAACCATGCCAACAGTCAGCCGTCAATCATGAGAGAGGTGAGAGAACCCCACAGTCCACCAAAGCAACCTCCGTCACCATCGCACAGTGACTGACAGTCCTTTGAACTTCTGCAAGAGACGAAGAGCAGAGCCATAAAATTCACGGATCAAAAACGAAAGCTGGAAGCCAAAAGGAAGTGAAATGGGCTTTATTTTGAAATCTGAAATTGTTTTACAAAAGAAAAACATGAATAATTAACATAATCACCCCTTAAATTAAAAAGGAACAAATACTTACAGAGAAAAATCATTAGCAAATCTTTAAAAAAATCCCTAACAAAGACAACATCCTTCCAAATAAATAGTAGGGAGTGCATTAAATAAAATTAAACCGCCTTTATTTAGTCATTTATAAAGGTATGATAAATGGATCTTCCCTCTAACAGTGAATACTCTGCTCTGTGCTGCACTCTTCACTTTCTCAAAGTGTCGACTTGGCATTGCTAGGTCAAGTCCATGCACCCTAAGGTCCTTGAGGTGCCAAATAAATTAAGGAAAAAGGTAAAAGAGAGCTGAAAAAAAAAACTGTTACTTGAACATTAGCGTAAGCATTTGCTTTATCACCCCAGGTCTGTGTGGAGAGTGGGGGAGAGTGGCTGCACTGTAAATTAGCTTGGCGCTAAAGGGCCCTGTCTGATAGACATAGTGCACTGAGCGCTAACACAGATGTCGAGGGCTCATTTACAAAAGCAGGACTGCTGTGTTGAGCCAGTGGACCCAGAGTGAGTCGACAGCCCTATTCTCACAAATATTGGTTCTGCTGCCCCGGCTCAGCTTGGCTCAGCCCAACTCCCACCGAGCGGGAACCGAGGAGGGAGAGGGGAAGGGAGGGAGAAAAAAGAAGAGGATGACAGTTTTCCCAGCCTCAGCCCAGGGAGTCAGGCTTTTTCGCTGACTGGTGTTGTGAGTGTGGCCAGCTCTTCTGTCAGCACTTTCCTCTCCTTCATCTTCACGCGCACAGCCTCCATTAGCTGGCCGGCAGAAGGGATCTGCAGGGGAGGGGAGCGATAGAAAAAAGGGTGTGGGGGTGGCGGTTGAAGGGGTAAGAGAAAAAAGAGCAAATGAGGAAAACACACAAATGCACAACTGTTAAAAAAAAAAGTCAGATTTTTGACACCTGGCAGCTTTTCAGAGAGCCTGTTTGCTGGTTTTTGAAACAAAAGAACCTCAGACAGCCTGAGGAATTGTGAAACTTTTGAGGGACCCTCTATGTTGAGTGTTTCAACAAGGAAATTCAGAAAAAAAGCTACACAGCAGTAGTTTCAAAGCTCGTTTGACACACTTTACTTTTCCCATAAGTTTCTATTCTGAGGTAGTACAGTCATGCACAACTTGTCAAAAAAGGGGGGGGGGTGTTGTTTTGTCCCAAAGCACGCTTGCACTGCAGCTCTTTTTTAAATGTACTGATGTTTACTTCATCATATAGGATTACAAAGGTTGAGAATGAGGATCTTTAAAGTCAATTCTAGTCATGGAAATGTTGTAAAAGATTAAATGAAGAGGTGGACAGGCTTCTCCTCAGAGTTCTGGCTGATTTTGTTTTTCCTCTGAATCGACACAAGGATTGTGTGGTCATTAGGGTGTCTGATCAAAGGCAGGCATTCAAACTCTATCACCCATAAATATTCACTGCAAGTTATGTGCAGCCCTTTTAAAGACGTCTTCTTCAGGCTGAGGATACAAATTAATTCCCTAAGCCATTTCCCAGAGTCACATGGCATGAGATGAGAAGTGGACGGGCCGAGCTGAAAATAGTGACTTCAATATCATAAAATCTTTCACTTTTTATCTCTTGAAAGGGAATGTGAGAATATAAGCTATTAAACCAGGCGCAGAGAAACCGGCCAACACAAGTCTAAAGTGCTGAAACTAACTTTACTGAGTAACATCTGCATCGGGGAATAGAAGGTATCGTGTTGCTTTGATGTGATTAACACACACTCACAGCACACATTAGAATAAGGTCTGTAGCTAACATGTTTTAAGGACACGGCAAAGGTCTGTGATTTGAAACTATCATCTCATCAATTTCCAATACGTCTGGAGTGTGAGAGCCCCAGTCCCTCTGCCCCCTGACACCTTTCTCCTCTTCATTAGAGGTAACAGGAGCAGGGAACACAAGGCCCAGTGTGCCGGGAAGTGTGTGCCTGTGTGTGTGTGTGTGTGTGTGTGTGTGTGCACTTGAGTATTCGAGGAGTGTAAAGTCAGTTCCAGCAGCACTGGATGCATCAAACACAGCGCGCTATTCCTCAGAGAACCACTATACTGAAGTAACTGCTGAGACATCTCCCTCTGCCTCTTAGCCCTCGGGAGGGTTCACTCTCTCTGTCTCTCACACACACACACACACACACACACACACACACACACACACATTCACATAAATGCACACACATACACACAATTACCCAATCAGCTAATTGCACTTAGAGCCACTAACTATGCAAACAAACCCACTTAGATAGAGACACAGCCACAACACAAGGCTCTTTGGGACAGCAGAGAGGGAGACTGGATCATTAAAAGTACCGATAGGGGATTATGGATAAACAACACTAACAGGTAAACAAGATCTAGATAAACCCAACATGAGTGATACTTAAGCACAGATTGAAAAACTTTGAGCAAAAAACAACAACTTACAAATCCCCTTGAGATTGGGGTGCAAGACTTTTATATAAGAGACAACTACACAAGTCCCTTCTCAAAGCTTTTCTGAAGTGTACTTGAAATGTACATTTACATTTTTTATTATTATCATGTCTCTTAAAAAAATATTATTTGCCCTAACTGTATCTTATTTCTATGAAAACCTGATAGTCGTGTTTTATTTAGCTGCCTTCATAAAGCACATGGGAAACTTGGATCTACACTAAAATGCACAACGCACAGGAGGATTACATTTATATGAATCTTTTTAAATACATTATATGTTTGGCCAAGTACAGTGAGGTAAGTCCAACAGGTTTTGGTGACTTGTTATGTGATGCTTATTTGTTGGGTGAAGTACTTTTCATTATGATTCATCTCCCTAAGGTGTGTGACTCAGATCAGCATTATGGCACCAGCACTCATACATACACACACAAGCAGCGCTATCATTCCCTTTCATCTAACGGCCACATATTCTGGGGACCGATACCCTGCAGGATGTTTGGAGGTAAGCTGTGATGCAGCTGCTCTGGTCGATCCCCTGGGTTCCTTAAGGCAGTGTTAGCAACTGGCACTAATGTTATGCTACAGTTGATTTAGCCGGGCCCCCTGTCCCCTATGGCAGAGATAGCCAGCACCAGCGCTAAGCATCGGAGCCGCTGTTTTTGCAAGAGGCCCCTGTCCCCTATGGCAACACAAAAAAAAAAAGAAGCTACTGTAGCACTAAGCCATGCTAACCCACATCCATTACTATTCAACAGGCCCTGCAGAGCAGACCTTTTGTCTAGGTATGATTTCATGAACATGTTTCAGAAGTGAACTGACATGTAAAGCCACTGACACTGACAAGCGTGGGTGTGCGTGTGTGGAGGCGAGGGGCCGGCGCTGCGAGCAAAAGGTGTTTTTATGAGCCAATTAAATGACATTGCTATTCCACAGCCCCGGGCACACCTCAAGGCGAGGAGCAGCTCAAAGTTGCAGCACTCCAGTGACCATTGTCTGATAGTGGCATTACAAACACCAACTTCTTTTTTTCTTTAAAAGATCGATCATTCCAGCTCTTTTGTCTTCTCCCTCGGAACAGGTTAACACAATTATTTCCAAGGGCCCAATTTGTGAGGAGCTGTAAAGATTGTGTCAGTCTGCCCGATATCTAAATGAGCGAGAGTGAAGAGGGAGGGTAAATCAGAGTGACGGTATATCATTCAAATTTCTGCAAGCAGTCAGAGTGTGTTTTCTCATAGTTAGCCACCAGCTATAATGTAGTTATAACATTTAATAGGTAGACAAACATTTAGCTCTAAAAAAGCAGGGACTCTTGGCTTCTTCATGAGCCTCAAAAGACTTTCGATCTGTATACCAACATCAAAAATTGTATTCAAAAGTACATGTTAGGCTTCAGGAAGAGCAGTTAATAGGCTATGTACTCTGCTGGTTTATGACGAATATGAATACGCAACTTGTTTTGTATCTGATTGGTATGACAGGACTGTTTCCACAGTGGTGAAGGATTCTCGCTTTTAATCTTTGTCCCAGGTTGGCGAGTCGTCTCCAATGTAGGCCACTTTTCAAGGTGAGGAAGAAGTAGTTACAGTAGTTTTATCACAGAGGGGGGAGAGCGGCTCTTTGATCTCTGATCTTCTCACTTTTGTTTGAAAATCAAATTTATCAAACGGGGGAATAACAACAACAACAGCATGATAAATAGATTAGGAAAAAAAAAAAGCCCAGGCACAAAGGCACCTCACTAAAAAGTCTTGCATTTGATTATCTCCGATAATGAATATGTCACATTTGCAGAGAGGGGCTCAGGTAAGAAAATCACTAAAGCTCCAACACGCCTATTCTCTCCTTCTCCTTCATAATTACCTACTCCTGCAGCGGAGCAGATCCCTCTCTTTTCTCCCCTTTAGGCCACTAGAGACTGATATGAAAGGGAATTGGACACTTGGGGCCACAAATACTGTAATTAAAAATCTCTCCTTTTCTTGATACGTTGTTTGGAAACATCATTTCAGTGTGCAACATGCATTTGTTAGGGATCTGACCTAAATACACCCTAGATTAAACACAGGAAAGCACCGGGTCTTTGTTTCAGGTTCCTACTCATTAGGTGTGAAAATGAGGTGATTCAGACACGATTGGGGTATAAATTTAGAAAGGTGATATCCATACAAAAGAGATGCAACCTTTAGGTAGAATTCTGCAATCAGGAACACAGCCGTGATTAACAGTACGGCTCATTGGCCGAGTTAATGTACTGAGAAGCAGTTACAATCAACAAAGTGGCTGTGCCTGCAGCAAACTGTCACAGAGAGAAAAAAGAACACGTCCAGTCATCTCTTCATGGAGTACATGTCTACTTGCATTATTTATCTTCTTTCTGTTTTAATTGTAAAAGGGAAAGTTAATGTGTGTACAATCAGACTGGAAGTGTTCTTAAAGCTCCAAAAAAACAGAGAATGAGAACAAGATTATTCACCTGGCTTATTTCAACTGGCCCTGTGAATTGTGCGGTTTGATACACTGTATCTGGTCAGGTTAAAATAATCACCCAACAAAGCAATGGAACAGCCCCGACAAGCTGTGTCTGCTGTTTCTATTTATATGAGATGCAAGTTGAGCACAGAAAAAGTCGCAGTGTGCTCTGGCATTAACAACTCTAACAGCAGCCTCCTCCTGGGAGAGCCCCATTCTGCTCCCTGCCAATGTTTCAGTGACATATTTACAGTACAAAGGCCAGGCTCCAGTCCCCTCCACACACATACAAACACACTTAGAGAGACGGAAAAAGAGTCGCTGATTTAATTAGTGCAATCATTAAATGAGCCTTAATTAGAGTCACTTTCCTTCAGAGAGAAGTGCGGGACTCCGAGCTGTTCCTTGTCATTACAGAGGCATAATGAGCCACACAACACAACTCGCTACACATCGCCCTCGCAGCGTCGACAACAACAGAAAACTTTCTGTGTACGTTAGCTCTTTGAGGTATGGAGCCTTTGATATGTTTTTAGAAAAAGGGTTAATGCCCTGTGGAAGTGCCATTATGGTGAGAAGCTTGGAAAAGAGGTGACATGAATAACGTATTTTATTTAACCTTTGATAAATGAAACAATTTGCCTTCATAGTAAAGAACTACAGCAGCCCCTCCCCAAAGTTCAATACGGTTTAGAAATTACAGGAATGATCTCAGCCCTGTAGTCCATCCAGTCCAGATCGCTCCGGCCTGTCTCCACTACTGTCTTAATGTAATGTTCACCTGCTTGTTATAGTTTGGAGGCTGATAAGAAGTGATGCTTGGACGTCTCCCTCGGGTGTGATTTTGAGGTAAATATTAGCAGGCCCTCTGCGCCACCCCATACCAGTAAACCAAAGCGCTGTCCTCTCATAAAGAAATCAACAGAGTCAATGACTTTTTAAATGTTATTATGCTGTCATGAGGCTTGAGATGGGCATGCGTGTGTACAAAATGAGTCTGAAAAATGATCTGGAGGGAGCGTGTGTGTTTGCATGCATGTGCACACGCTTGCATGCACATGCACCTCCTGTTCATTATTGGCCAGCAGCAGAAGCCAGTCATTTCCCTGTCTTCATAAAGACTTGGCCCATTAAATTCTACCTCCAGTCAATAATTAGGACTCCACAAATAAACCAAAGGCAATTAAATCAATGCTTCCCCGGGCCGGTGCCTGGACCCTGTGGCCCACATGGACACTCCATCTTCTCTGCTGGCCGTATTCATGGCGGGTTGCAGTGGAGCCGTACAGTACACCCCCTGGCCTGCTCATGATTATTAGATAGCACCGTCCCTCGACCCTGGCCATGCAGCGCAGCTTATGGTGGCTCTCCACAGAGAGGCGTAGGGTTTGATTTCATTAACTCACTAGTGGAGGTGAGAGACGAGGAAATGAATGCAATGTTTCATTTGGTTTTGAGTGGACATGTGGGGTAGCGGTGAGGGGGAAAGAGAAATGTATGCCACTTCTGTGGCATGAGAGTAGCAGTAACTCAACACGTTCACAGGCACGATTCTCTGTCTGCAACAAACTGTGTGCTAAAGTGGTGTGGATGTCTCTCTTTCTTGTTATGTTGACATGTGGCAGCACATGACAAGGATGGCGAACAATGGCCTGCAGACAGACACACATACCACTCATCTGCTCTTCCACATCACAGTCATATATACAGAAACAACACACACAGAGTGAGTGATGGGTTTGCTATTGGCAGGGCCACAGCGATAATAAAGTGCTGTCCCACTGGCAGCTCCATTAGGCACTGACAGTGACAGGATGAGGCTGTCGTGAGAGTGCACATGCACCCACCAATACCTAGACATACAGTACATACACACACACACACGCACAGACCGATGGACACATTCTCATCCTCTTTCAGTGACAGCCAGCCAGTTAAGGACATGGATCTCTCTCTCATCTTTCCTTTCACTGAGTCTATTTCTGTCTTTTTATCTGGAGAAGTGTGTGCCAGTGCAGCTCAGGGGTAAGATCATATCACTATTAGGGGAGTGTGTTATTAGTGTCACAGGCAGGGTGACAGGCCAGGCTGTTTCACTTCACAGATGTTCTGCTTGCTGAGCCTTTCATAAGCTATGACAGAGAGAAGAGGAGCAAAAGGGGGTACAATTTGAGGGATTCAGAAATGTTTTCCCTTGCTAAGAAAATGCTTGTTTCTGAGCATCAAAGGACGCATATAACCACCTTAAATCCTCCAATGAAGATATCTGCCTTAAATGTAACCATCACATACCCTTTCCCTGGACTCTTAGTATATGAGCTGTCATCCCTGCTTTTTAAAAAAGTCAGAAAGAAGAGAGCAGAAGAGTTGTGTGTCCCTCTCATAACACATCGCAATTAAAAAACTAGATGAGAGAAAACTGTGAGATTTAGAGAGGAGGAAAATGTATAATAAATAAATCACAAAAAACAGCTCAAGATGGACTTGAAAGGCGTTAGAAAAAGTCTAATGCAGTAAAGGGGATGACTGTTGTGGTCCCAGCGGTCCCTGCAGGGACCTAGGGGCGAGTCTCAGCCTTGTCATACTCTGCTCTCCTCCTCCTCCTCCTCCACTCCACACCAGCTTCACCCCCCCACCCCCTCCCCTCATCCACCACCCCTGTTCTGCCCACGGAAAACGTCGATAGCAGGCTGCCGGTGCCGAGGTCTCTGGTGGACACTAGCTCATTCTCCCGGCATCGACAGGCCCGCCAAATCAATATTTAGTTCCCCACTAACAAGCTGCCTCGGGGTCTGAGCCAGAGAGAGAGAGAGAGAGAGAGAGAGAGAGAGAGAGAGAGAGAGAGAGAGAGAGAGAGAGGAATGCAGGACAGTGGAGGATGGCAGAGAGAGACAGAGAACAGGGACTGAGAGCTGTCCAGCTAGAAGGGAAAAACATGGATTCAGTAGAGTCTTGTTGTGTGTGTGTGTGTGTGTGTGTGTGTGTGTGTGATTGTTAGTGTGGGAGGGGGAGAGTAAGGTGGAAAGGTCAGAAGAAGATCTGGGGAACAAGAGAACAGTGTCTGGTGTGTGTCGTGGTGCGGAGGCGACGCATGAGTGCCTGCGGCAGCCGCTGACAAGAACATAGACAAGACACACATACACACACTCGACACTCTCAATCATACACATATCACAGCGAGCAGACGTTGACAGCACTTGAGTAAAGCTCCAGCAGAGCACTCACAGATGAGTGGCTGTGCACACAAAGACTTTCTCTCACACACACACACACAGACACAGACACACACACACACACACACACACACACACGCACACACACGCACACGCACACACACACACGCACACGCACACACACACACACACACACACGCACACACACACACACACACGTGCACGCAGAATGTCGTGGCTTTTCTTTGTTTCATCTCTTGCATGATTTTTTTTAGAGCCAGGAGTGGGACACATTTAAGCAGGAACTAAAATACATCCTGAATATTTTGTATTTTTCTGATATTTATGGCACCCATAAATATCACTGCTATGTAAGGACAGTATATGTGCTATTATAAAGAAGGCAACAGAAAAAGAGACATGCATGCACTGAGTGATCTAGTTTGATTTAAAATGTCTGAATGTTTAAACATTTTTTGTGATATACTCTGAGGCATATTATGAATTGATTCCTAAATGTAACAAAATTTTACATTAATGATTTTAAAAACTGTATCATCAAAAAAAGACAACATCAAAAATCTCTTTTTGGAGATTTGCTCTGTTAAACGTACACATTTACTTTGAAAAAAAAGACTACTTAATGATCTATTTTTCAGATAAACGAAGCAGTTAAAAGTGCCACTTGTAATCAATACCTGAAGGAGATTAGACGTGCACGTTTGAAAAATGTTTTGTGCTTGATTTCAATCTTCAGTATTTTAAACGCCAGAAACTTTTAGAAGAAAAACTTTTTGTTATCTATTGACTCTCTAGAAAACAGTTGTTTTAAAAATCGACTCCTCAAAAGATTGTAACATTAAGCTCAAAATATTTTACCAGAAGGGAAGATTGGCTTTAAGCTTATACAAGATTTCACTTCCATGTGTGTAAGCAGGAACGAGTAACTTGTGGGGTCTTTACTGCAGATGTGTGAGCCTAACCTTCTGCTGGAGGATGTGGTTGAGGTGTTCCAGCCACTCCTGGTCTCCTGGACTCTCTGAATGGTCCTCTGTCGCCTGAAAAAACAACAATAAATACAAACATTTTAATGACAGGATGAAGTCTGAAAGATACAAACCCGGGACAGAAAGAATGCTGGTGTTAAGAGAGGATACTCTCAGTTGATCTTAGCATTTTTGAACATGAGTAAAGTGTAAAAGTTCTAAATGAATCAGATTAGAGAAACGTTTGATGAGGAGAATCTGCCAGCAAGGGCAGAATTGTAGCATCATACCAGCCGGGACCTTGAAGAAGCTCTCTGGAGACTCAGTGGCAAGGTATGCCAGTAAATGTTTGCATGCTAGTCAAGTATAAAGAGGAGCCTTGTTACTGCTAATGAACTGAGAGAAGACGGTGTGGCCATGTACACCTCAGCACTAATGTGTTACCTCTTCACCTCAAACCCCAGGTGTTGCTGCTCCAAATGATGTGACAAGCCTTGTACTGCCTGACAGTGACACGAGGGAGGGTGGAAGGTGGGGGGGAGCGTCTGTGTGGCTGGATTTAAAAGTCTCTGCGGTCACAGAGTGCAGTGTCACGAGTCTGTAAGGGCACTTTGAGTATATTTAAAGAGACTCAGCCTGAGGTGCTGACTTTCTAAAGATCACCCTTTACTTTTAGCAGTATTAATGTGAGTGAGATAACTTACTAAAATCAAAAATAGTAGCTACGTTTTTAAGGACTTTCAGCTGAGAGACTATTTCCAAGATTGTTTTAAACCATTTAAAATATCTGGGAGTGTTACTCTGCATATATATGACTTAAATGGTTTTACCCAGAGCAGTTTATTGTGCACGTGATGTATTAATTTTTTAAATGTAATGAAAATTTAGAACCATAGAGAATAAAATAGCTTTTAACAATGTGGCAAGAGCAAAAAGTCTTTAAAAAAACAATTTCGCTTCAACAAAGTGTGTGTGTTTCAGCTTTAATGATAAATGGATGTGAGAAATATCAGTAAGTCCTAGTAAGTGGACTAGGATGTTTGAGATTTTGCCGCAGACTTTTTATCCCCTTGTAGCTCTGTATCATCACAACCTTATATCACCTGATATTAAACACTTCATTGTTGTTTTAGTTTATTTGACAAAAGTCTATAAGGCCTGAATCCCCAGTTCTTGATTTAGCTTGTGTTTCTCTTTAGCTGCCCCCTTCTACCTGGTGTGATGCTTTGGCGATATCAGAAGTAGTTTGAGGGTTGGGGGACTTCTAAAATGGAACTGTGTCGCCAGCTACAGTATGTCTGTGGCTGTGTCGTGGCAGACACATCATACAGGTGTGGATAACTACGGACAATCAGCTTCTCTCTCCAAACGTTCTGCAATTATTGTCCCTGCTGCTGTTTTGACCATGTTGCATCCCCTCTCCCTCTACACTGTTCTTACCGTTTATGTGCATACAAGATCACACTGCGTTACATGTTGAGGACACTGATGATTCAAATAGACGCAGGCGATGCAAGGCAGCCTTCGTGTGCACGCATATGCATAGCTAAAAGCAAGTATATGCCTGGCCTTACACTTTTAACCTCAAACTGTGACACATTTTTAATCCTTGTGTGGCTATGTGTATTCTTGACAGAGCTCGGATCTATTTACTGTATGTTCAATTAAGATATCATGTAAAAAAAAAAACACAACACGCCCGCCACATTACGCCACCAAGCAGGCAGCTATTAACCGCTATTAATGCAACAGAGAAAAACAGGGTTTGAGGAGTGAGGAGTCACTTTCCCCAGAGTTTTCAGCTCTGATGAAGTAGACTTTTTCATAAGAGAGAAACTTGGGGAGGTATCTGGTTATATAAGTGAGAAAGAAAGAGAGAGAAAGAGGGGGCTTTTCTAGTGACTATCGCCTTCAAGCCTTCTGCAGGGGGGGAGCATGTTTGTGTCTAGAAGTGTATGTGAATGAGAGTGAGAGTGCTTATCCAGCCCTTGGTGGATATATAACAAAGCACTGACCCTCCATCAAGCATTAGGTGCAAAACAAACTGGCCTGGCAATTATAGTCTTATTACATCTGGATCATTAATTCCACAACAAGTTGTTCAGGGAGCCCAGCGCTGCTCTGCCCTCTCTGCTCCTCTGCTGCACGCTATGGAATGGACAAAGGCATAACATGGTGTGCAGTATCATACGTGTGTGAGCGCTTATGTTTGAGCACACAATCTTAACATCCATGAACGAGGGATAGGACTTTTTTTTTTTTTTAAATATCTGAATAGTCAGTCAAAGATTCCGTGGTGGGGGTGTATGGGTGGGTTATTATTTGAAAAGAATTGCCAGTGACTTTCAAATAGTGACTTTCTTGAAATGCCCATCTCTTCCATGTAAATATGTCAGATTGATTTCGAGTTTGTCTCTGCATTAGTTTGTGTGTAACGGAGCAGCTGAAAGTTTCTGTTTCAGTACAAAACCACTTGAAAAACTACAAACAATTACGGTAGTTTTCCTTCCTATTCCCATGAAACATTTAAGTAAAGGGAGGTCTCACTTTATACAGTCCCTGCTGTACAAATAGGCTTGTCACAGCTGCATTTCTGTTCAGTAAAATACCTTAAACATAACCTTAGATTTTTCAAAACTGGGACAAACCAACAAACCAAGGTTATTGCTTTAGAGGGAAGAATATATGTAGCCGTCGGAAAAAACTTGGTTGTAATTACACGAAGGTTATCTATTTGCAGAATTCCAAAATATGACCAAAAACCAGGAATAATTCATTAAAAAAATTCTGTTACACACAAAATTTAAAAAAGGCATCGATTTCAAAACCAAAGCGCATTGCCTTACAATGCTAAAAACTTCTGCAAATATTGTTGACAAGAGAAATTTGGCAAACTTTAGAAATGTAGCTCTGTTGGCAATGGAGTTTTCTGATTTAAAAGTAAAAACCAGAGGTAAAAGCATTCCCATTGAGCCCTGGGCTCTCATTCAGCACACTGGTATCGCATAACCAAGTGAATAAATGAATACATTCGCTATGAATCAGACTTTTGAAGACTGCTGGGACATCCTCATAACCTCGTGTCACATTCTCAAGTAGAAAGAAAAACAGAGAGTAAAAAATTGTCTTGCAAAAGCTCAACACATGGTGAAATTTCATCTCTGTTACAAAAGTTTCCATCATTTCAAACCCATTACGAGAACAACCACATTTTAGATTGTATAGCAGTGTATCAACTGTCAACTATCAACTGTTTTATAGTCAACTGCTAACTTTGTCTAGCTAGATGAGATTAGTATAAGAAAGGTCTACATGATTTTGAGTTACCTCCAAAAGCTAGCTAACAAACATTTACGTATAGACACACTCCATGAATTCCATGACACCCAGCCAAACACACAGTAGGATAAAAGCACAAACAAAAATTGTCTAGGGATTTCTTCACGTCATCTAAAACAACATGTGATCAATGTAATCACAACGAAGATATACTTGCTTTTTAACCTTGTGTTCACATACACATCCAGCTGTGTAAATAACGTAAGTGTTCACACATACTTGGCTATACACTCATATACATACCTGCATGAGGAAGATTCCTCTCGAGAACAGACCAGAGAGCTCAGGCTGTACCAAACTATATGCGAGATATAGAATTACCAACCTGGGGACACTCCTGGAAGCTATTTTCATTTTGTGATGAGAACTAACATAATAGTAACATTAGTACTAAAGTAATTTAGTTAATGCAGGTTCCCACGTCGACTTCTAAGATGGAACTCTGTTGCCCGCTGATTTAACAGGCATATTTGTGGCTGTGTTGTGATACGGACACTTTTTACAGATGTGGATAACTTCTGGCTTGGTCTATCAGATTCACTCCCAAACTTTCTGCTATTGTTGTCCCTGCTGCTGTGTTGCCTCTGCCTCTGCACCATGGGCATACTTCATCTTGCAGGGGATGCAAGGAAGCCCTCATACTCACACGTAGGCATTGGTAAAAGCAAATATATGTCCAGCCTAATACTTTTAACCTCAATCTGTGACACACCATTATTAATCCCCTGTTGGGTTTGTGCATTTTCAACAGAGCTGGGATATATTTATGTTCAATTTACAAATCAGGAAAACACACTCGCCACAGTACACCACCGAGGAGGCTGCCGTTAACGGCTATTAATGCAACCGAGAAAAGTGTCGAGGAGAGGAGAGTAATTTTCCCCACAGAGGTTTCAGCTCTGATGAGGGGGACTTTTTGTCAAGTGAGAAACTGTTCCCTGTCATCCCCTGGGTGGAGCTGGGCTACAAAGGGCTAAAATTGGTTTCAAGTGTGAGTAAGTGTCTGCTGAGCCCTCTCTCATCTTGTGATGGATAGGAGGAAGTCCCCAGGGATGGGAGCTTGATTGTAACATGGGAGTGCTAATTGATGACAAGGCTGGGTGATCTATGGTAGAGAAAGGGTCCACCAAGTTGGAAAAGAGTGTGAAACTCAAGAAGAAGAGCCAATAGGAAGAATTTTCTGTTCAATGACTGCCTTCAGCAGGGAAAAAAAGGAGTTGTACTTACTCAACTTGTGCTGTATTAAATCGCATAACATCCTGACAGGTGCTGCAGGTGTTGACAGGTTTTTGATCTCGTTGAGAGCAAGAACAGCTGCTTTAAACATGTAGCCACATCTTTCTCTATTGCACTACAACTTCTAAACTTATTAGTAACATGGCTGTGTGTGTGGTTCTACTTAACTTGGTGTTCAACCTTGCTTACTTGCCCAAATCGGTCTGCACATCAATAAGAGAAGCTCAGACAGAAGCAAAGACTTCCAGCGAAGCAAAATTCTGTTAGTTACAGGTGAAATGAACTAAGAACAGAAGGCTTCTATTTCTTCATATTTCTTTTTTTCTTCACCGATTCCAATCTAGAGTTTGCATTCCCAGTGGATCGACCGAAGTAATGGTAGCTCCTCATTTAGCCTCAATTGACAAAAGGAAACCCAAGGCAACAAGCTGATATTGATGATATAATGTATTTCTCAGTCCTCTGGTGCAATCACTGAGCAAACCCCCTGAAAACTTTTAGGATGTTTTAAAATTTTACAGTACAAAAAAAAAAAAATCAATTATAGGTATGCTGCGTGCTCTGGGCATAATTTAGACTTGATACAGATTCTCAAGTTAGTGTTTATTTAGGAAATGATGACCCCCCCATCCCGTCCCTTGACCTTACCTGGTCAGTGTCCATTATGTCCGCGAGATCATTCTCTGACATATTGAGGATGGAGGCAGCGATGGACTTGGCTTTGATCATGGACTTGGCTGAGAGGCTGCTCTTTGCTGCCACAGTGTTGGCCTGCCTCGACCTCCTCCTCTTCATCAACTGCTGCTTGACCTCTTGAACGTCTAAAAGTATTTCACTGGCCAGGGCCTGAAGGAGGAGGAGAAGAAGAAATGAAAAAGAAGGATGATGAAATGGATACAGAAAAACAAGAGGGATAGCTCTGCCTGGCAGATGAATAAATGAAATTGATCAAGCATGCGCCAGAGAGGCCTAGTACATTATGGAGGAATATTGAGTTTGACACACTCAGATTCTCTTCGGTTTCGCCTCAAGCTCCCTTGTAGGAGTGTGGACCTGAGGGTTTGTTGCCCTGTCGATTGAAAGCTGAGGGAACACAGCTTTGATACCAAACTCACCCCAAGTTTTGCTAAAATCTCCACAGACAGAAAATCATGCATCAGAGAGAGAGAAAGACACAGAGCTGCTGAAAATACAGCCATTCATTTATTTATTTGCTTTCTGAATGTCTCCGAGTACAACAGAGCAGCATAACACTGTTAATAATTAAGCTATGAGGAGCTGTTTTAAATGGGGCCCGAGTGAACGGCAAGCGAGACGAGGAAGTCCTGGGATGGCACAGTTGTCGAGCACTAAATGGGAGTTTGCTCTAAATACAGAGAGACAATTAAATGTTAAAACTGCCACTGTACACGGGAAAGTCAATAAAGTAAACTCCCCTTTGCTTCATTTTGAGCTTATTGATCGAGGCAATAATCTTCTGTATCATTCCCTTGTAAGCCCGCTGAAAAGCTGACCTTGGAATAGATGGTCAGATGAGGAAAAGCTAGAGACGGAAGAACCCGCGGAAGAGACAAACAAAAACAACAAGAAAAAAAAACAGCACAAGTACAAGGTGCTCTTGCTCTTGGACAGTATGCTATATAACAAGAAAACACTCAAGTGCATTACCGTAACAAGGGTAATCACATATGAACAATCGAGGAAAACATTCCAACTCCTCTGTTGTAATTTCACACAGGTGGGCCAGGTGCAGTTTACAAAGCCAGCGGTGGTTCTCACAGGAGAGTGCTGAGTGAATGGTTGCAGGCTTACAGCTGGAGTGTTGTTTATGAGCAGCACTGAATATTTCAATGAATAAATAAAAAAACAAGAAGGACAGAGAAATTAATAAGATGTTTAAAGCTACAGTATGTAATATTATTTTATTATATTTTTGGTTGAAATAACTGATTTTGATCATTAAACGTTACTAACAAACAATATTTAAATGTTCCTTGAAATAAACGTGCACCTGATCTGTGTCTGTGAATGCCCTTTGTATTTAGTTTGTTTTTATTTATTTTTTCAAACTTATGAGGTCTGAATCAAACAACCAATCAGGGGTAGTGTATGTAGCCTAGCCAATCACAGAAGCTCAGTGAGGAACATGTTCAGGTTTCTTGGCAACTGTCAAGTTTTCAAACGAGCATTATCCGCCTTCTGTGTGGACACTTGAGTTTACTCTGGTTCAATGCATCAAATTAAAACATTTGTGTTTAACATTGTCCGTAACATTAATTACATTTGAATTAAAAGAACAATGGTCCTTGAACACACAATCTCAAGTCGTATTTAAAATAATATACAACTAAAGTGTGTGCTGTCTATGAAAACTCAAAGTCATCCAAATAAGCAAGATCAGATCAGTTTGATTTGCCTTTAGAAAACGTAGTGCAACAAGATAAACTCAAAATTGCTTTAAATCTCAAAACTAGTCCATTGATAGCCTAAAAAGTAACTGTGTCCTTTTGTATCTGTCAACGATCAAAACAAGAAATAAAAGGGAAAGAGACAACTTTTTCTCAAATAAATTTCTGACAAAGGAAGGCCACTAAATTCCTTTTAGTGTATCTGAGGGCTGTTTTTACCCTTAAGGAATACCTGGCTCGTTAATGAACAGTCGTAGATCCTATTCTCTTATTTACAGCCTAATAGATATTCACTGTCACTAGTCAAGGGTTACATTCAATTGACCCAAACCCTGCATGCGGAATAATCCAGGAAGAAATTAAGGGGTGAATTTATTGCTAATTCTCAGCCCTGGGAGAGACAAAGGTTGGGAGGGAGGTATGCCAGCATTCACACACAAGCTATCCTAATACATACATGGAGGGTACGTGTGCGTGAGCATGTGTCTGTGTGCGCTTGTTAGGAGCTCTTAGCTTGGCTAGTACCACAATCACTATTGCCAGAGGGGCAATTTAGACAGGACGAGGATTAGGGCATGGAGATGGGGATCAAATGAGCACGAAAAGATATCCTCTTTAATAACTGGCTACCTCTGATCCTCTTCACACATATGAAGACACAAAGGGCCGTTTTACAAATATTAAGAGCAGAGCAGGAGGAAAAAATACGCAGGCACTTATCAAATAATCGTATTGTTATTGTTTGTGTTCTCTACAGTTTGAGAAAGATGTCATATAAAAAGCCTCATCTATAGGTAAATTAAAAGTGTAAGCTGAATGTTAAATACAGGTGTGTTCTTAAAGTGTGTTCATATGAAGAAATTACAGTAATAATAAATTAATTACTCTTGTCTTCCTTTACGGATTTCGAATTCAAGATATGAAGCAAAGTGTTATCATTCTTTTTCTTGGATCATAAGCTAAAATATTCTTTACAAGGGGACTGTTCAGTGTGTGTGTCTGTGCTGTGGAGTAGTCACTACATGCAGGGCCACTGTTTAGCAGTTCAACAGCAGTGCTTGCAGCCTGGGGCGTGTGCAGGGGCCAAAAGGGTTTGCTGGCACACAATAAAGAAAAATCTCCGCACACACACACACACACACACACACACACCAAAAGAACAAAAAACAAGCTCATAAAGACACACATGGACACTTCCATAAACACACACACACACACACACACACACACACGCACAGCCCTCCGGTCCTGATCAATACATGACAAGAGTAAATCTCCTCCGGACGTCAGGCAGTCCAATCAAAGAGCTCGGTGTTCTTATAGGGAATCACAGGAGCCAGGGGGAGACAAACAATGATGTGAATCCTCAACAACAACACAATGGCCCCACAAGCCTAGGGTTATGGGAATCGAGGAACGGAGATATACAATCATGAACTGTATTCTTATGCATGTGAGCTTTCACAAGTAATGCGGCTTCTATTTTTAGTATACATGTATATTACATTCATGTGTGTCTTCTTTACTACATGAATGCATATGTATGAAAAATTGCAGGCCATCATTTTTATAATATTTAAAGTGTGGAAAAGAAATAAAAAAAAAATCTCAATTTTAAAAAAAATCTCAATTTTTCCACAATTTACAAGGTGAGTTTTGCATGAACAAGAATCCTCTTGGAATAATTACTGGATTCGGGGACAAAAGAACTGGACATTTTCCACAAAACACTGTCCATAATGTGCCACTTGATACTTGATTTATGTGCGTGTAAATACACTGCAGCCTCTATCTATCCCTGCCAAGCCTTTTTGCTCCTTTGATAGGCAGGTGTCAGCTGAGCAGAGGTGATAGACGGTCTTTATCAGCCTCTGCCAGATACACACATAGACTGACACAGACACACAAACACACCTCAAGGTGATGGATTAGGTCTTAACAATGACAATGGTGCCCACTCCAGTTGGGCACACAGTATATTTACAATGGTTGCCTGATTCTCCCTATCCATAAAAAACAAAAAGTGCATTGCCTCTGTGCAATGTCCGCTCAGCCCTTACTGACATTGTTTACTCTCAGACATACATCGCTTTGGAAAAAAGTGTTTGCTAAATGAATTGTAGAATTGTAGAACTTCTTGGCACATAAACAAATTGTTACAATTCCATCTATGTTTTGATGAGTAAGAAGTTCCTAGATGTGGTCGCAGCAGGTTAGCTAGGTAGTGCTGTAATTCTTTCCCTTAGCTACATCGCTAACCGCTCCTGGGGGATCTTGAGGCTTGTCCAGATCAGATGGGGTGAGTAACTCCTTCAGTGTGTTCTACGTCTGTTCTTCCTCCCAGTTGGACGTTTCCAGAGAACATCCACAGGGAGGAATCAAGCCCGACATCCTGATGAGATGCTTGAAGCCTCTCAGCTGGTTCCTTTCAATGCTAAGGAGCAATGGTTTTATTCTAGGCTCCTTGAGGATAGCCTCCTGATAATCAAAAGAGCAACTCTTTTGATCGCTGCCTTTACCTCCTGGGGCTGAATGTCCATCGACAGGTAAATTAAGAGCCTTGCCTTGAAGTTTCCTCTGCAGCACAACCGTCCAGATTAATGATGGCATTACTGGCGACACCATACCAGTTGTTTGACCTTGGATGGCTTCAGATCAATAGACTGTCACCAATCAAAAGTGTCTGTTAATAAACAGACTGAACCCCAATTTCTCCTGTAGATTAATTTAGGGCCCTGCATGGTTGAATGAAGAAAGGACATACTTTTTAACAACCCTTTTTTATGCAGTTTGACAGTGTTTCAGAACCACTAGATATTTTTACCATAACAAACTCCAATTCTTTCCACAGGTGAGGTTTTGTTTCCAAATCCACAGAATTGCCATCTCTCTGGTATCTTGGTACCTATATGCTGTCGATGAGTTCTTGGGTTGACTCCATGACAGAAAGAGATTATCTTCAAGCTGTAGATCTGAGCATCTATCTCCATAATCCAGGTTTTGAGGATCAAGGGCTTCATGTCCCCAAACTCACTTGTTATGTTCAGATGTGTGATTAGAGTAGGCCTTACCCGTATTTTGACACAAACTAACTTCTTCGCCCTTTACAGGTCTGTGTAACAGCTTACTCCATCATCTCATGTAACATCATGTAATGAGCACTATACAGCTTTGCTCTGTTATATTTCTGTGTGTCCAAGACATTCAGTTGTCTATCTATCTTTGAACAACTGTGTTTTTGGTACACTTATGCACTTATTTCATCTCAGACTGCAACATAGTTTTCAGTATGTCAGAGCACAAGCTCCGACAGCAAAACACCAATCATGTTCCCATCTATAATTGTACGCCATATTAGTGTTGAAGTTCGTTAGGAGATTTTTGGTGTAAAGGATCAAGTGATGGTCAAAGAGCTTCCGCATTATGACATGAAACAAGTCATGGTGGCTTTTTAGTAAATCCACAACCAGCTGAGCAACTCCAAAAAAGAGGGTCACTTAAAGTGCTGATCTTATTTTACAGCCCTGCCATACAGGATTTAGTTGTTCATTTACTGGGGCCAATTTGCAGAAGCCTCTACCTTCAACTTGCTGCACCAGAAACCTACACCTAACCCTGCAGGTGATACACCCAAACAATATCACTGCAAGGAGGTGAGTGGGATAATTTAACAAGACAAACTGTGGACCCATGGCCTTTGATTTCTTGCCCCTTTAGTACAGTACCTTGATAAAAGAATGAAGCTGCTCCAAATGGGAGTAGGTCTGGCTGAGCTGTCTCTGAAGCCTGGCCAAAGCATTGGAGCTCTGCTGGGTCAACCCCTCCATTTGCTCCGTAGCGGTCTGTTCCAGTGCAACCAATGCCTGCTCACTTGCTCCCAAACGAGCCTGCAAGACATGCATTCGCTGCTCCTGTAAAGAAACACAGCAGTCTGAGTTGGTAAGCTGTAAGCAATCTTGTTTTGTTTTAGAAAGTAGAGTGTCTGCTTCGGCCTGTGAGGCATTTGTGGCATTTGTAGTAAAAGTACATTTTGAAATGTTCTAGATCTTAGTGGTATTGTCTTTTTTACAGCGAGAATGACATAGTTTTGGATATATGAATGATGGTATGGGCTGCAAGCAACAAATAGCCCGCACTGATTATTCAGGGTCTTTACATTCTTCGATGTCATTGGAATGATTCTTAAGTTGCCTTATCGCAAAAAAAATATTTTGTAACATAAACAGCCTACAAAAACGATCTACACTTTTCTCCCTTTAGCTTTAAAATGTTTGCAATTTTAAAATTGTTTAACATCTCGGATTCATAAAGTGTTTTTCTGTTCAGTGATTTAAATGTTTTATTTTTTTTGCAGATGACACTACAGAAATTGAAATAAAGGATGAAATTTGTTTTAAATCCACTACTAACAAAAAGACGACTCTGAAATTACAGTTAAAATGGAATAAAGACTCATATCCTCTAAGTTGTGATCAGATACATAGGTGCCATATACCATGGCAGAGCACAGGGAAAGAGAAGTTTATCTCACAAGTCTGTAGCAGCAATTTGTGTATTATTTAATTGTCTGAATTTGCAAAAGGGTTTCCAAGAAGTGCATATAAGCTGTCTTATTCTCATAATGATACAATCACAACCGGGGCTGTTTCCTACCTTTTTCTCTAGGTCCTCCTTCAGTTTTGAACAGGAGGCCTCATACTGGCCCTTCTCTGTGGTTGCAACATTCAGTCTCCTTTTCAGGGATTCAATGAGAGCTTTCCTGTTGGTGGCCTCTTCTAATAAAGTCTTCACCTGTAGAGATGTAGAGGGCGGGCAAAAATGAATTAAAAAAAACCTGAAAAGGATAGGATTGGGACCTTGTAGTTGTGCTGTAATAAAGAAATACTCCCCTTATATTTTCATTGAAAATGTCCTTCAAATCAGTAAAGTAAGATTTCAGTCTACAACTGCAAAGGTAAGTTTATTCTTTGACCCTTGCTCTGATGCACTGAGTGTACCTTCTTCTCAAGCTCCTCCACCTGCCCTCGGTAACTTTTCTCCATCTCCTGCAGAACCTTTAGTCTCGTCTTCAAGTCCTCCACCAGCTGCCTCTTCATGTTCACATCTCTCTCTGTGTGGCTCGTCCTGGAAGCACGCATCAAGGCGCACACACAAAAACAAACATCGTATGTCGGAGCATACTTTTTCATTTTACCAGTAAAATATTCTCGTTGAGATGCAAGATCTATTTTTCAAGCGAGACAAATAATGAACAAATATTACTTCAATCAACAAATCAGAAGAGAGGCTTCAATAGGCATTCATTCTTCAGACATTCACATGCACACTTTAATGCGAGGCACACTCTGGCAAACAGCATATTCATGGGAAACAAATATAGACATAGAGAAACCGACACATACACAGACACACGCAAAGCTGGCAGGCACTGTGTCCCCATGCAGTGCATCAGGCATGACAGCTCATTATGACAACTAAATACACTGGCATGCTGTTCGGTTAAGTGGAGGGGGGTGCAATAAGGATGCATACGTAATTCTAACTGGCATATATTAGAACGAGTGCTCTGGCGGGGAATGCCGCAGTAAGTGTGACTGGGGAGTCCTCTATGACTAACGGCATTTTGAATCAGCAGTGACACTACTTTAGAGACTGTAATCAATATTTAAATGTTTGTTATTTCCCACGCAGCATTACACCCGTCACATATTGAAACCACATCAGCAAGGGGGACTTGGCTTGTGAATGACTGATTATCAATGAAACATGCTTTATAAAATGTTGTTTGTTTACATGCTGTACTGCGCTGATGATATTTTCCCTAAAGAGAGGCAAGGTCTCTGTGTTGCAAGAAATTCATGTCTCAACTGTTGCAAACATACACCCTGTGTCACTTCCTATTTTGATAACCTGCTGTATTGACATGTTTAACATTCCAGCATTCTGCACAGCCGTATTACAGAGAGGCCTTGTTTTAAATGGGCTCAGTATGTTAGTATGTTTTATTCTGTTTTCATAAAAGGCAAATATGAGTTGTTCATGGTTGTCTATACCGCAGGGATTTAGAACAAATAGAATAAAGATCATAAGGATGGAGTTAATTAAAATGGTTTTTGCCGTTTTTTTATTTCAAACATGCACTGGATCTCTGAGCTCCCACACGCCTCATCGGCTGTGTGTTTTAAATAAACACATGACGCAACGCCAGAGCAAATGCTTTCGTGTAAGTAAATGTCCCTGCCTCCCTAGGTGGATGGATGCCTGAGGGCAGACTGGCTAAATAAATGTGAGCTTGTCCTATTGGAGTGACATTAAATTAAATGAGAGAGGAGTCTAGCCTGGGGTCTATGGGGAAAAGTAGCGCTGCCTGGTTACCCCATGGATTTGGCCATTAATGAGAAAACCCATATTGAACCTTTCAGATGGCTGTCTGGTGTTGACTTAAAGACGGAGAGCAGCAATAAGAGCCCCAGCAGCTCCCTCTGCCCCAATGCTAATGGCAATTAGATCGACAACATTTATTTTAGATGTTCTCTTCTTCTGCACCCCAAAAAGAATAGAGGATAAAAAAGAATGAGGGATATATGGAGCTTCTGCCGGAGCGTGTGATCTCTATTTATGAGTGTTAGTGGAGAGAGAGAGAGAGAGAGAGAGAGAGAGAAAGAGAGCCTGGAACTATATCCCAATCACTCACACGTTTGCTCCCTTTGTTCTACGCTTGTTGGCAATATTGTTCTTCAAACATGCGTGTATTATAATGATAACAGTCAGAGGTGTGAAGTGTGTGTGTCTAAAAGAGAGTTAGAGCGAACATTTCTGTGTATGTTGTTAAGAATGAAGTGAGGGTGGACGTTTCATGTGGCTGATAGACAACAGGGCTAAAGATGAAAGAAGCAGCTTCATAAATAAGGCAGGGCCATGGTGCCGGATATTGACTGAGGACATGCCGGTGTACTTTGAAATTCATTTCTTTTTTTCCCCCTTCTCTTCTTTAAGGCGAAGCAGCCTTGCTCCCTGTGTGTATGCCGAGATGTATATTTCAGAGACGTCTAGACATGTCTTTCATTCTGAGAAGGGGTCCCTCTATGGAAGGAAATGGAGAGGAATGATAGAAGAGATGGCGAGTAACATGCTCGTGTGAGTGAGTGAGCGAGTGTGTGACAAGAGGCTAAGGCTGTCGTGGAAACTCAGCAGAGGGATGTTCGCTCTGTCTGCCTGTGATCCGCGGTGCTTTGGTCACACACAAACACATACACACTGTGATTGTACACATGCCCCGGATGCATTATTGAGAATGGCAGGCAGAGGACACGGAATACAATACAAAGAGAGAGAGAAAGGAAGGAAAGCAAAGTTCTTATTTGTACCTTTCCCTCAGTTCAAAGATGAGATCCTAATGTAGAATGATGATATACTCCTTTCATAACACAGTTTAAATCTCTCCCTGAGCAATTTATTTACAGCCATACATTCTGACTCTGTAATACAGAAAAAGCTACAGTAGGTGAACCTTGTAACTCATTAGGGCTTGTGGCCCACAGGCCAGAGTGATGCTGTGTGGGTTTTAGTGTCATGGGCCAAAATGGTTCCTCCTGAGGCACACAATCAATCAATACACCGCTTTGATCACCACCCCACATCAGCTTCCCACATAAGCAACAGCCCTATACATGACACACAAGACACCCACATGCACACATGTGCGCACACACTAATTCCTTCAGTTGCTTTTTATTCAATCGCTCATGAGAACGTGCATAATTTCACAGATGATTCACGCATAGGAGAGGCATGCCTGAGCAGAGTGCAGCAGACTGAGTGCTGCCACATGGTGGAATCAAACACTGCAGATGAGAGCAGCAGAAAGTGCAAACATGCAGATAGAGAGACAGGGAGAAGGACAGACACAGAATGAAAGAGGGATGTTAAACTTAATATGGAAATATAAGAGCTGCACTGGTAAATGAGAAACATAAAGAGACACTAATGAAGAAAAGAGGGTGTGAGACTAACTTGTCCTGTAGCTGGCGGAGCTTGTCCTCCTTCTCCAGGAGTTGGCCTCGCAGGGCTTTGTTAGCCGCCACCTGCCTTGTGACCTCCACACTTGCACTCTGGGGGGAGGGCAGAGGGTGCGAGTGTGTTAGTTTATGTGTTTGAGTGTGTGTGATGGGGGTGGGGAAGGTTTTCATGACACGCCTGATGACAGGTCAGGCACAGCATGCCACCTCATTATAGTTACAGCAGGAGGGTGGAAGGTGCTAAAAGAGGTTAAGAGGAAAGCAGTCATTTTCAAAGTGGAGGAGATAAGGAGAGCAATTAGGAAGAATAACAATTTCCAGACCTATACTAATGAATACATTAAACAAGGCGTGTGTGTTAAAAAAAAAAAGTTATATTAAAAAGCATGAACAAAAATCCAGCTCCAAACAATCTTTGAATATAAATTAATTCAAACATGTTGTTTTTCTCTCTTTTTTTCCTTGTGTTAATGACATTAAGACATATGGTCCATGGTGATAGGTTGGCATCAGATCAAAAAACTGATGGTTATTTAAACGTGCATGTTCACTTTGGTTTAAAGGGCCCCGTGTCCCTTGTGGGAACCGTACCACTACACGCTTTTGACAACTCGCTAACTCAGTGCCTGCACCCCCACAGTGCATCCCCTGCCTCTCCCCTTTTGCTGTCACCTGACATGACTTCCTCATCTGTGTGTAACGACAGCAGCAATCTGCCGGGTGACACTGATGAGCTGACTGTAGAGAGGAGGCTGATAATACTGTGGTACCACTCAAACCTCATTCCCTATGATGTAGGGCACGTCTCTACTGCTATCCCACATTTCTCATCTTTCTGACAGGTACTCTGTAATAAGATCAAATGATAAGAAATGCTAATTCATGTCGAAATCACATGCAATTTCAGGTGATGCTGAGTGTAAATTGAAATGCTCAAGAGTTGTTGATTTTTTTTCGCTACATGAGTTGAAAGTAAAACCTTGACACGAGTTTTTTTTTCCCACCAGAATTTCTTAAGTCCTCAAGGACTGCCTGCTGTTTAATCCACTGAGATGTTCAAGTGACTCAGAAATATGGGTTTGATAGGAATAAGAAAAACAGGGGAAAAAAATGTAAACTAAAAAAATGATATATTCTTGTGTATTCTTACACAAAAAGACTGTTTAATGCAGCATATGTAGCCAAAAGCCACTGAAATGTGTTTAATGTGTTTGCTTGCCTGTATGTTCAAAAACTTTTCTTGAGCAAAAAGGTAAAAACATACTATCAAAATGTTCAATGTTTTTTTATGGTATGATTAACTTCAGCTTCATTGTGCACAAAATTGGAAATGAACATGATGCGTAACACCATCATCCTATTAAGAAGCTTAATCTAATAAGGCATGCACAATAAGACAAAGCATGAGGGCAATTCATTAACCCTCGAGCGCTACACAGCACTCATAACCACTAACCTTTAGTTTGGTTTGAAGCTGTTTCACTTCCGCCCCAAGCGCCTGGGAGGCTGTATCAGCTGTGGTGGGCATGGACCTGCCCTGGCAGGAGCACTCCGTGTTTACTGGGGGTGCTGGTGCTGGTGCAGATTGCTGGGGGAATTGGATTTTCCTCCACTGCTCCAGCTCCATCTCCAGAACCTTTTTCTGCTGCTCCATCCCAGCCAAGTCAGAGGTCAGCTTCTGCAGATTGACAGACAGACAAAATTGGTGGGCCAGGGTTCTGCAGACGATACTACAACTAACGTTTTGCCCCTTTGTTGTACAACGGGGTAATCCTTTATTTTTGTGATAGGTCAAGCATAGGCATGATAAGCTGCTACATAAGTCATTGCTAACTTTAAGAAGTTTGATTCAGACCAAAGCCTACATTTTTAGGCTTTACACTACAAAAATGTATTAATGTTGGAAAGAAAAATTATCTGATTTGTCAAGTTCTTCATTTTAAATGTACATTACGTAAAAGGGGTAAACACACACACTGTATACATATGTATACATTGCCACAGGAGGTGTGCAGGCTCTGCTTAAATATCTCTCAGCTGTGATAAATCTCCTTTTCTATGCTAATTAGGACACAGATTATGCCGTTGCCCGGTCAATAGGGCCTAATTCTCCCTGTGATTGGCATGCATAATAAAGCCATCCTGCAGAAACAGAGAGCACTGTGGGACAGAGGGAATTGAGCATTTGGTGAGTGGTTGAGTTCAGCGTGATGAACAATAATAGAACTAGTTTATAATGTACAATGTACAGTTTATTAATGATTCTAAGCACAAGCGTGTGAGGTGATACACCTCAAAAAGCTCTTTGATGGATTATGAAGAAAATATGTCGCTGAAACACGTCTCTGTATGTTTTGTTTAATTCTGCCACAATTAGCTGATCTAATATCATTTGAAACATGCTTAATGGCTCAAATAGGAGATGTGAAACATAAGGATGTATGCTGCACACATGGGGTAAATGCTGGAACACACACAGAGACACACACACACACAAACACACACACCCAAGTGAAACCGCAGATTCCCAGGGGTTTGCTCTCTGCTCTGCATACATGGAGGTTATTGATATCTGGTTGCTGGCTGACACCTTTTAATAGAATCCCTCTTGTTTTAGGTTTCCTCTGCTCTGTTGAAGGCGTGCATGCCATTTCCCCAGAGACGTCGGGAAAAAGAGAAAAGAGAGAGAGAGAGAGAGAGAGGAGTGGGGAATGAAAAATGGGGCTATGGCTGTAGTGGCAGTGCTGCACGAATTAAGAGTGGCATTGATGACACTTCCTGTAAGACAGGCTTTGATTTCACAGGCCATTTTCAGCCCTGGTGAGAAATGACACTGACATGGACTGATGTACCGGGGGTCCATTAGGCTGTAAAACAGGACACCTCACTCTCTGTATTCTCACTGATGCTGTTCCAAGTGATACCCAATCATTAGCAGGATAAATATGGAATCTGAGGCTGCAGAATTAGAAATTAGAATTAGAAAATGATTTTCATCACATACGAATGCATGCAGATACACATGCAAAAATAAATGTGCATGTGACATCATAAATCGACCCAGGGAAATAAAAGCCAATTTTTATTCTATGCAAGTAATTTTATCAAATTTAAATAATGTCTGGAGCTCCTTCAGTTCAGTGATGTCTGCTGTAGCCCTAATTCTGTGATAATCCCGACTCTTTGCATGTGTAAGGAGGGTAGGACACTGCACATTAAAAGAGATAAGCTCAGTAAACTCAGGAGGCGATGTCACAGTAAACCGCAAAGTGATGTAAACGGGGAGGTAATGACTGAGTGAGGGAGATAATCTCAGCAACGTATGATCCTGTATTTGGCTCATAGCCCTGACAAGAACATTTCTTCAAGAGCTACATTCAGTAGAATTAGGAAAGTATATTTCACCTGTCACCTGAGTTTTTTAAGCTTCTTATGTCACCTTAAAGGATAATTCTGGTGTATTACATGCCCTCTTATAACGTGTTTCTTGTACTTGGTCATGGTGCTTTTAATGTCTTGTGTAATGCATGTTGAATCGCTGTGTTTCTGAAATGTGCTCTGTAAATAAACTCGCCTTGCATTACAACTTGAGTCTTCTTTTTCTGCCCGATGCCATTATTTTCATCAGCAATGATAACATTTTGATCTAGGAATGATTTCCATACAAGGCATCAGAATTTACATTGTGGGCATACTCACTTTGGGTTAATCCTGGCTGAAAAGTGGTCTAAAGCTGATCTGACTAAACTCTATTATTATCTGGTTCCATATTATATTATTTGCCAAACTATATATGTTTACAATGGTAGTCATTTAAAATATTGCAATACCGCAGATTGTCAAAATACAAAACCTTAGTTGTAATAAATACAAATTCTCTTTGGAGATAAATATATTCGTACACTTTTGGCAGGCTAAGGGAAAACATAAGAATCCACAAGGTTGTGAACTCTAAACCTAAGAGCTAGTGTTTCAGCCTGTTTTAATAAAATATCCGTGGTGACTGTGTGATCAAAAGTGTCACTGTACTGTTGAACATGTGTTCTCCTTGTGCTGGCACACTGTAAGTTTCAGATAAGATGTAAGTTCTGAAATATTTTTAATTAGCTACTATAAAAAAGAATACACAGACAAAAAGCAACTTAAAAGTAAAGAGTAAGGAAGTTGTAATTTTTTGCTGGAATGAGGTGTGGAAGGAGGCAACAAGGGAAGGACAGAGTGTGCAAGGGATCCAGAGACACAGCAACACAAACAAGTCTCTGTAAAACTGCCATGCTACTTCTCACATGATGGCCCCTGTGGAGGCTGTCCTAAGCCAATTACCAGCCGAGAGTTTTAGTTGGAGAGTTGGCCAGGACTAGCTGGAACAAGCCCAAAGTCCATCACCTTTTGCCCTTTGCAGAGAGGGCAACAAGACCTGGCTCTGGCCAGTCAGCCGACTTCAACTTTCTCTGGTGGAGTGGCATTAATACTGCAGGAGGAGAGAGGAAACAAATAGGAAGACAACAATTCCCCCCCTGTCCACTACGTGTGTATGTGTGTGAGAGCACATCAGTGCCTTTACTGCTGTGTCTAAGTCTAAGGTCTCGTTGGGCCTCAGCAATCAGCTGCCTGGGTCGGAGCACAAGGGCCACTTCCTTAGTGGCAACAAGAAAAGGGCTGTATTCAGACACGTGTGCACAGAACATTCTCTATCAGTACAAAAAGTACAAACCCATGTTAACTAATCAGGCGTTCAGCTGGGTCCTCACTGACTGCAACTGTGTCTAAAGTCACCCAAAGATTTCCTGCCTGTGAGATTGGATCTTTCTTTGGTTAGTCTATGTATGTTGACGTGCACAAGGAGGCTCTGACAGGAAAGACACTGTTAAGGGCAAAAGTGCTAGGTGTTTTATTTATAGTCTATACCAAGTGTAAGAGTCTCCTACCTGCAGGCAGGTACTAAATTACTAAATGAGTGTGTGGCAGTCACAGTCAGCTTGCGTGTGTCTGTGCACATACATGCACATATTTGGAAAAACTGATAGTGACACAGATTGTTGGGGAGAACTTGCTTGTTGAAACATTCAGTTGGACGAGACAACAGCAGAGTCAGAGAGAAAAGGAGAGGGTGTGCGCCTCTCCTCTTCTTTGTGATGCTGACCTCCACAGACCTGTCAGCCACACTTATTAAACATGATAAGGGCAAAGGACCTGCCTCTGCTGCACTCTCACCCCCCCCCAGGAAATAAAAAAAGAAACACAAAAAGAAAGACAAAAAAAATTCTTCCAAACATTAACAACTTGCTTTCCTTTCTTTTACTCATCTCCCTTGTTTTTTCCCCCAAAGTTACCTGTGTGAGCTGCTTGCTGCTGCACAGTTTCTCCGTGAGGGAGTTGAGCTGCACCGTGATCTTCTCGTTGGCAATTCGCAGCTCTCTGGCTGAACGCACAGCATCCTTCCTGGCACTTTGCAGTATGTCAATGTGACGCTGCAGGGACTCTATACGCTGCTGCAGAAAAGAGGAGGAGCAGCGCTGGGTCTTCATTAGCATCCTCTTCCTCCTCCACCTCATCTTCTCTCCTCCCGTCCCTCGGTCCCAGGGCTCATGCTGTTCATCGTCTAACAGGAGGAAGTACACACAGGCACCTCAGAGTTGACAAGTGCACGGAACAAATCCCCTGTTTAGACGCTATACTGCTGGGAGTTAACAGGTGTATGTGAAAGTGCCTGTGTGTATGCTCGAGTGAAAACTGTGATATATTTAACAACTTGAATTATTAACATTTTCCATTTATAACCGATTCAGGAGTGGCAAGTTCTGAAACAAACAAACAAGACGGAAGCTTGTTAACTTCTTATAAACTTGTATCTGATTCACAGTATGTTCATACATTGAATGTTATTGCAGCCGAAAGTAATATTTGATTCAATTTTTGTAGTTCTGCACGGGTGTAATAGTGTAAAACTTATGATACCTTGAGCCAGAACATCGGGTTGTTTCCTGTAAGATCCCGCTGCTGGTGCGTCTGTGTTTGACATCAGTGAACACCTGTAGGACTGAAAGAAAGGACAATTTGGAGACAGAGATGAAAAGCAGCTGTTAAATGTAACACAAGCGGTTGACATGTTGCACAGCTCATAATGACACCATGATCACAGGGTTTACTCAGCTTAACCCGACAAGACAAATCACTGTGCGCTTTAATAATTCACCTGAGCGTGTTCATCCGACTTCTACCCGAACACCTCTCGGCATGGATATTAATTCTGACATATGCTTGCAAATGCCTTGATTCACTCCTACAGTATGACATGTGTGTACAGTCATTTGCACTCATAAATGTGCGTGTGTGTGTGACAGCTCCCAACTGCGCCCTCGTTTGTAGCGACATCAAAGAAGCCCCCCATCCCTCCTTCTTCTCTGCCTGTTTCCTTTGTATATGGGGTCAGGTAGGATTTGATCAGTGCCAGGTTTGATCACACTGTGTCTTGCAGGGAGGAGAGGGGAGATGAACCCTTTGGTTCGTGACAAAGCACATCGTGAGGGGCCAGGGCTGTCATGGCGATGAGCCCGGGAGGAGCTGATGGGCACATTTAGCGGATCTGGAGCGGGGAAACAAAAGGGGATCTGAGAGTATGGGTCCTGACAGCTCCCTGGCTACATGTACAACAACAAGCCTCTCTTCCTCTCCACCTTCTTAAAAAAAACGAGAGAGGGGAAGAGAGGAAGACAGAATATCTTTAAAGGTCCCCCTGTACTTCTCCTCATCTCTCTTTTTGACGGACATATCTCTCTGGGGTTTGGAGCTGCCATGTCCTGCTGTGAAGTGGTTTGATGTGGACAAGAGCAGAGGTCCAGGCCTATTGATTTCATGGTGTGGAGAGAGGAGGGAGAAGAAAAGGCACCGACAAGCACACATGGGAAAGTTTTTGATACCAAGAACCAGTTTTAAGATGTATTTTATGGCATGTTCCAAATCATGCAAGAACAGCTGTTAGTCAACATATTTTGACACATTTCTTTTCAGACCTATGTGAAATCCAAGCAATGTAGAAGTTTGATTCTTTATTCTTTCAAACTTTATGTTAAAAAAGGGGGCAGTTCACAGTGACTCAAACAAGACTACTTTAGAAATGCAGAGGTTTAAAAAGTCAAATGGAACTGAATTTGAATGATTTTAAACAGTCTGCATCATACTGTAGACACTGCAGTCCCCAGTTCCTTATCTACAAATCTAACAATCATTATGGACCAATATATCTGTAGACATTAAGGACATTGTACCACATTAGTCATGAAAGTGTAGTCTGAATTGAAACCAGGGAAATTTAAACCCAATTCTGTGTTACATCAGAATTTTAATTTATTGCCAAATACATTTTCACATACTGTACAAGGAATATGACTTGGTGTTTTGGTGCAAAACACTTAACAAAAGAAATAAATCAAAAATAGCAAGAACTTAAGCTTAGTATTAAACAACAGCCAAACTGAGTGAAATGACCTACCCTTTTAAAATGTTTCCCCAATAGACAATTCTTTATATTAAAGACGAAGATTGACCTTTTTTGGCAGATAAGACTTTTAATTGTTCATTCAAATGTGTTGAAAGTTTATTGTCTGCCTACCCACTGGAGAAAGGACTTTTAAAACACTCCTAGACGTCTCAGTTGACGAGTCAAAAGTAATATCCACCTGACTTCAAACATATCACTCTTTTACCGTTCCTTTTAGCTGTTTTTATTTTATTATTTAGTTTTGATCCGTAACAAGTTCCTTTTTCCGTGGTTAAGTTAATGCCGTAACCTTTGATCTACCACAATGTACTTACTGTATTTCAAAATAAAAGCAGGGTTGAATTCAAACAGCATTTTCACAAGCAGACTATTCTGATTAATTTACTGAAAATGTTACCTTGAGGAAGTAGTATGCGAATAAAGACACTACCCCATAATTACATCAGACTTGAAGTTTAAACATTCTTAAACCAGAAATGATTAAAGGATGAGATGATACTAACCTTTCTCATGGAGTGTTTGGAGTGTGAGGGCTCACTGTTCAGACTGTCAGAGTACTCGTCACCGCTGTCACTGCAGAGAAAAGGAGGAAGTGGTTAGATGAATCAGACACCCTGGTTCTGAAAGAACCAGCACTGTTGGACAAAAATCCAATTTACCTTTTATGGTTGATTTAGTTGACATCAAGAAAAAACATGTGCATTTCACTACACCCCCGCTTCCAACGGAAAATCAATGTCCCATCCAATTTCTGAGCAGGAAGTGTAAATGTGGGTATAAATTAAGTGAAAAGCTGCAGTGTCTGTTGCTGATGGTGAATGCATCAACATGTATGAGAGCAGCTGTGGCCTTCATTAGCCCTCTGTGTGACAGACGTGTGTGAGAGGCACGGCTGAGCGGATCCAAGCAAAGTTGCATCTGATGGACACACGGTAAGGGCTTCCTGGGACACACACAAACACACATGCTCACACACGCTCACACACACAGGTTTATTGACAGTGACCTTTGACGTGAAGGTGGAAGCCAGTGACATTTACGCTGGCGGGTTTATTAAGGTGGGGCTTGTGAGAGATGCAGCAGAGGTAAAGACCAAAGAGAAAGGATCTAACTGGAACATGACAGGGTTGGGGGCTAGTCAGGGTTAAACCCCGGTCCGGGCAGGAGCACAGGGACTCACTGAGGATCACTAATCACCACCACTAAGACCAGGGTTACAAGAATAAGATAAAAAAAACAAACTGCTTTACACTGGTGAGATAGCTAAAGAGGTCCGAGTACAATTGTGAAGAGTGGCTAGATGTGCAGGGTGACTCGCGATACGATACAATATGACATATGTGTCCCACGATATTGATCATCTTATGATACAGGGATGCTGCAATTTTGAATATATAGCAAGACAATAATATAATGATGCATCATGATTAGGGCTGGGAATCTTTGGCCGTCTCACGTTTGATTCTTGGGGTCACGATTCGATACAGAATCGATTTTCGATTCAGATGATTCTGGATTCAAAGTCTATTCATGAATTAGTACATACTTCAGGATCTACTCCAGTCATCCGTGAGACTGGCTGAATTTCTTGTTGCTCATATTTGGCATTCTACTGAGTTAAAGAGCTAGCCTTAGCACCTAGTAGGGAGTGACTGATTAGCCAAAAAAATTTCGACACTCGATTTTTGGAAGTTATTATCGATTTTAAATCTTAGAAGTGAAGAATCTCGATTTTTAAATAAATCGATTTGTTTAACCACCTCTAATCACGATATCTGATTAACTGAAGATAATAAAATGAAGGATTGATGTATTTAGGTTAATTGCAGATCTAAGGTATTTATTTACTAAAACTCTGTCAGTCAAAATACACTGACTTCAGAGAAAAAAATAAGGAATGATAAAGAACATCTAAAGAAAAAAAAATACTTCATGTCTCCTTAATCAGCTGAAAGCCTTATTGAGATCGTAATCTTTGTAGCCCTGTGTACACAGGCCATAGTACTCACTGGGGTATAGGGTCGCTGGGTTTTAAGTCCGACCTGTGATTCCTTACCTCTCCAAATTTACAACTCCATCCGTATCCACTGTCCTTTCTAATAAAGCCCTTCCCCACCCTCCACCCCACACACACAAAAAAATAGTGACTTTACCATGCCAGCTACATTAACAGTACCACACAAATCATAAAAACACTCAGCATTTCCATCTATCAGAATAGGCTGATCAGATTCAGAATGATATTTTACCCAAGCTGTCTTCCTCTTATTCTGTCTTGCTCCTCAACAAAACTGCTGATCTGCTCAAAGTGGTCAGCTGCCTCCAGCAGCAGCTCAAAACTTGAGAGAGGGAGCCAGAGGCAGCCTTACAAAGAAGTGGAAAAAATAAAGAATTGTCAGTATCCTTAACAAGTCTGACATCTTTATTTTGCACTATTTAGGCCAAACTTCCTTAGGCAGAAATACTGTATTTCTGGAAGCACCAGCCAGACATTTCGCTGAAGAAGACCGCTGCTAGAAAAAAGACGCAGGAGGCTTTACAGTAACAAATCAGTTGACAGGTGCTTAAATAAGACAACATCTCAGTTTAGACCCCTTCTTCACAAATCCACTTAGATCCTCCTCTCAGGTAAAGGGTATATTAGACTGCTCCTTATTAGCCACATGGAGAGGCATTAGGAAAGCAGGGCATAGCTGCACCCAGTCCCTGTTAAATGGCCTCATGTGGATAGAGATGGGGCGGATTACAGGCTGATGAATTAGTCGGTGAAGAGATGGCTGGTTAGTAGGACTGAGCAGACAGAGAGGGGCGTACGGGGAGAGAAAGTGAAGGGAAATAAATATCAGCACTAGCTCTGAGTGTTTGAAATCAAATCATTCCAACCATCACTCAATAAATGTTGGCTCAGTGGCTTTTTGCATAAAACATACATGAAATAATTACTGTCGATGGTTCTTAATTTAGAGGGTGTTAAACAGCTTGTAGACATCTGGTACTGAGCCGAGTAGGGTCATTCAAAATTTATCCAACTAAATTAAGGCGATGAGAAGAGAGGAGAGGGAGAGGAGAGGGAGAGGAGAGGAGAGGGAGAGGAGAGGAGAGGAGAGGAGAGGAGAGGAGAGGAGAGGAGAGGAGAGGGAGAGGATGTGTGTTTTTTCGTGTGTTGTGATGGAGTTCCAGTATGGTTGGAGGAAATAAGAGTAACGCACACACATTTGTGAATTGATAGGCCACTTGATAAACAACATGACTCTTCACAGGGTTGGGTTAGCTTCTATGCCTGAACGGCAGAGTGTGTACGGGTGGAGTAGGTAGGTGGGTAAGGGGCGCTTGGTACTTGCAGGGGGATCCTTAGCGCTGTCAAGGGGGGGTTAGTGAATATGCAAAGGACCAGTAAATTAAATCAAACTGCCAAACTGTCAATTTCAGGGTAGCGTGACTAGTGCATGAAAATGGCATCACTGGAAGGTATCAAGGCTTCGGCGGCCCCCTTATCCCTGGGCTTTTCTGGCATCCGTTCAACTTTGTGCAGAGAGGTGGCTAATTTTGCATGCAAATTTCAGTCAATAAGCTCCAAGCAAGGCGTCCCAGGATATTTCAAAGGATCTGACAGTACTTTCCCCCTCCTCTCTATCATTCTTGCTCGCATTCTTCTTTTGGCTCCTGAATACCAACGAGACAGACGATGAAATTCAATCACCCATTTGCTTACGCTTTGCATATGCACGTTGTCCCCTCGATGCTGCAGGGCCCCCCCACGATTTGGAAAGCCCACTCTCTCAACTCAAACTACACAGAAATAATGAGGTGGGTGGTTGTGAGAATTAGAACCTTCATGTGTGTGTGTATCATTACCTATCGATGCTCATGTCCTCCCACTCGTCCTTAGTGGGACTGGGGCTGCGGCCTTGCCGTCTGATGGCTTGATTGGGGCTGACTGTACGGTGGCTGCGCTGCTGGAGTGGACCTCTGGGTCTTGTTGTTTTGAATTTGACCTTGTTGCTAATGTTGCTGACGCTCCCACCTGCCCGTGTAGGTCCTGCTGCACGGTTCCTATAGAAATCCCTGGCTGCTCTGAGGATCCCTAACTCCTGTCTCAGCTTCAGCAACTGATGATGAAGCTTGGTAGCCTCTTTGTGAGAGGCAGTGAGCCGGGCTTCTAGGGCCATGAACTCGCTGCGATGCCGCTCTCCCTGAGCAAGAGCCTGGGCCTGGGCTGCCTCTTCACGGACAGCTTCCTGGGTTCGCACATGGTCCAGTGAGGCTTTGAGTCTGCGGCAGTCGTGAGCCAAGTCTTCCTTAGCCTCAAGTAGCTGCTCTTTCTCTTCCCTCAGTCTCTCTGTTTCTTCCTTCAGAGACATCATCCTTTGCTCCAGCTGTTCAATCTGAAGAAATCAGAGATAAGGGGAATCAGAGATTCAACACATTTGAATCGGTCTTAAAATAATTCTTTAACTTTTGAACATGCTCCTTAAACAAAGCTAGTGAAAGCAACATTATGCCATGCTGTTTTTGTTCTATAGTGTGTTCTGGAGTGTGAACATTTCTATGAGGAGTTCCAGTTCTTAATTTGACCCGTTTGTGTTAACAGACACAGACGTTAACCCTCTCTAGACATCTCTTAAAAGTTTTTGTGTCGCTATGTAAATGCTGTGTATGTCTGAGCCAACCAGGGAAGCAGTACCACCCCAAACCAGCCCGGCAGGGCTATGAACATTTGACGGGCACCCTCTTACCCTGATCACCCCTAACTAGGCAGTAACCAGGAGCACTTAGTCTGTTTTTTAGATCTTTGGTTGAGACTGTTTAAGAGAACAGTGGATGCCTGCTGGGTTCTTGCCTCCAGGCAATCGTTTCCTTTTATTTGGCTCTCACTCTGCCCGCTGGTGAATCCTGGTACCCTTCAAACAAAATTAGACAGCTATCCCCACTCTTGATGATTCACTGCTCTGACGGCACAAACACATGCAAATGTTGTTGTTTTTTAAACACACAAACATATGTCTTAACAAAAGCTCCAAAATACCATTAATGTTAAATGTTCTACTTTTTCTGGGTTAACTTAGTACAGTAATTTTTCTACACTCCAATGCTACAGTAACTATTTTTGGTGTGTACTTGCAGAATAACTGTGACGTAGTGACACTTAACTTGGAAATGACTACATGACCAAGTCTCCACAGATTCAGAACACTTTTTCATAATTCTTCATATTTTCTGAGAGGTATTGTGCTCCAATACGACTCCGTCGGATTTCTTTTATTGGCAGTGACAAAGAACACTTAGTGATGGCATAGTGCTGTACCTTTTTAAATGACTGTTCCAATCGCTCTGAAGAAACAGAAAGCTTTTTCGGAGTGCTGCTTTTGACCTGGCGCTCCTCCACCACTTTGCAAAGCAATTCTGCAAAAGGGAACAAAGCTCATTATTGTGACATGATGTGTCAAACTCAGGCGGCAATCAATGAAATGATAATGAAGAGGGTACATTAAATCAATTAGCATTACTAAGGTCTAATTTACTTCTTGAGGTCCAGTTTTTTTTTTTTTTTTGTCAATCAAACTATAAAGAACACAGAATCACTTCTACTGTTTCCAAAGAGACTTGAATTTTTTTAACAGCTAAAAAAAAAATCAGGTCCGGTTTCTTACATTTTCATCAAATAGCCTTTTTTCCAACCGATTATCAGAAAGGTGTTTTATTTAGTAGTCCACATGGAAATAGGAAAACAGTGTTCAAAAGCACACACTGATACAGGTTATGCGCAACCTCTCTCTGGGGATCTTAAACAAACGAAGAGAAGTGCTTAAATCCCTTGTGAATAGACAGCCCCAGGCTGCACTGCTTTGTAGTCCACTGTGTTTCCCCAACGGACATCTAATCTCTACAGACTAACATGCTGCTTTATTCTGAGAACTTCAATAGTGGCCTTGGTAAACATATGATTTAGGCTTTATGATAACAACAGAATGCATGCAGTCATGGTCAAAATGCTTGGGGATTTGATGCCCTCATATTCATGTCTGCATACACAATCCAACAAGCCTCAGTGTCACTGTTTGACACACAGCAAAACACTGCAGAAGTTACAATATCTCCTCTGCTGAAGAACAGGCAAAGGGCAACAAAAAACAATCTACAACTTTCTGCCTCTCACTCTCCCCCCTGTTAAACATTCATGGCAGGACGACCAAAATAATTTTTACAATGAGACTGAAAAACATTAAATATTCAGGACCTTGACTTTACAGGTCAGTTGATCTGTTGGAGACTTAGTTGGGAAAAAAAAAAAAGGGGCCGTAATAGGAGAGAGAGAGAGTTATGTTGTGAGGAGCTGCTGCTGCCTTGCTTTGCATTTGAGGCTTTGCCCAGGGAAGTTTGTTACTTTGAATTAGCCTGCTCTTTTGTCTTCCCAGCATGTCACATTCAATCAGACAGAGCACCAAATAGGACAGGAGGGCTGCCGGGTTCGCTGGATACATAACCAGGTTGGGAGACAATTAACTGGCTCCAGTGCTGGTGGCTTGGGAGTTGGCACCTCAGCACTACCTTGATAGGAAGACGTGGTGGCTCCCTAGTCACCCACTGTTGGAGGAGGTCCTGGCACTGCAGCATATATTAACGTCCCTCCCACGTCTCCTCATGGGCTGCAGCACAAAGGCCTTGTTCCTTTCATCTGCTGCCTTTCGTTAGTGTGATCGTGGCGTGAGCGCTCTAGCCCTCCATCCCTTTGATCGGGTCACAGAAGTTCTCCAGGAGCAAACTGTGTAGCCATTCCCCTTATATTCTTTTAGTATCACATACTCCTTCTAAGTAGTATTAAGGACTCTTTTTTTTTTTTATCAGACTCTAAACATGTTTGTTTGAGTCTAGATGTTAACGTATCATATGCAGCCAGAATCATTTAAAAAGATGTCTTACACATGTGACATTATTGACTCAAAGGGGTATACGTAAGGTCTTGCTAAAGAACTTAATTTAGTCTGACACTTAAAAACCTGAAATTGAATTAAAATTGAAAATGCCTCCATAATACTTTGGGAAAGATAATATCCATTAATGTCCTTCTTATACTGTGCAATATATAAACTATCATCCTGTACACACAAACACAGGGCATTTTTATACAGAGAGAATGATACTGATAGATTATTGATAAACAAGAACATCCGTGCTGGACAACACTGAGTAGAGCCGATCTCTACAGTTAGCAAGTTGTTCAACTTTGTGTAAGATTATGAAATTCAAGTACTGCTCACCTCGTAATCCAAGAAATATCTACTTTGTAGGAAATGATGTGTTCATGGTGACAGTAAACACAGGACACAGACAGATTGTCAGGGTCTTGTGTAACATTTATATTTAATCATTATTTGTCTCTCAAAATACTGACAACTGAGTATGTCCTTCAAAGGAGATTCTTTCCTTGTGTTCCTGACTAGACTGCCAATAAGAAAGGATCCACCATTTTAATTAGTGGCATCCTTTCAATCACGCACTTGCATCTGTGAAAAGACACCATCATTGGTTGTGAAGAAAATTAAAGTGATGCAGGACAGATTTGTTATTGAACTGGTTAATTAAGGCCAGCGCTTGCTGTGGTCAACGCCTAATAAAAGGCTGCAGATTGGATTAAAAGGGTTGTGCATTTTAACATTGGGAATGATAAATGCAGACAGGATGAGCACTGCTTGATCTCCCAATCAATTTGCAAGGAGTTGATCAAGTCTTAATTGAGTTGTCTTATTAGTTCTGCTCACTCAATACACATGGCCTAGAGGTAGGAGGATCACTTGAAGGTGCTGTCATGTTGAACATGTGTACTTTCCCACCACATAATACTTACAGTGTTTTCTCTCTTTTGCTCTTTGAACTTAATGTCTGTGCTGACTTTTTGTAGCTGACAAAAAAGAGCCACACAGTTAATTCACTGGAAGAAAAACTAGATTTCATGTCAGAGACCAAATGAAGGGAAGAAAAACGAAATGAAAACAATATAAACGGGACAACAATAACAAAAAAGTGATTTCTAAGGATCATTTTCAGTTGGTTATTCTGAAGCCCCAACCCCACAAAAAAATAGATACAAAATGATGACCTTGGTGTTCCTCAGCAAGACACAGGTGGAGCTCCTTCACCGTGGCTCGATCCATAGCAGCCTGGACTTTTAGCATGTCCAGCTCCTCCTCCAGGCCAGCTCTGCAGACACACACATAATCAACTCTGACTCATACAGATCTTCAGTAAAATCTATGGATGATGTTTTCTTATGAAATATTCTCAAAGTATCTATCTTAAACAGTTTTTCACTTATGCACCGACATTTCTCCTCCAAACAGAAAAGACGACTTGATAGTGAAATCCGCTAATTAAATTGCTTTTTGATTCATCTGGAAATCAAAGTGACAAGCAACATGAAACGCCAAGGTAGGAGAGTACAGTGTGCTTCTGTGTGTGGGTAACAGACAAACAGACTGGAAAGGGTGCACAATTACCTCTCTGCAATTAGCTTGATTCCTGCTAAAGGCTAATTATGTGGAGCCATGCTCGAGACTTTGCACTTTCAAGTTATTATTAGGACCCCAACTGAAGTCTACCGAGGATACGCACAAGCCCACTGAGACAACCACACCTGAAACACACACCTAATTTCCCTCCCCTCTGCTCCACAGAGTCGGAGAGAAACACTGGAAACAAGCTCCTGCTACTGTAGTGGCATTCTTCCCTGGGTTAACCTCATTACAACAGTAGGTCTTCTTTTTTTCTGACTGACTTCTTAAGGCATGCAGTGAGTGCAGTATGAGTGATACACTGTTGAATTTTAGGAGTAACAGGTCACTTAGGGCTGTAGTGAATATGATACGAAAAATGGCAATTAACTCAAACTAAACACTTGTTTTAACCAATCTAATTTTGCAAGATCAACTGAGAGATTTGTCTTTCGCACGTTTGCCAAGAAAATGATTTGGGGCAAAGTTATTGCCATAGCACAGGGAAGGAAACTAATTAACTTTTTGAACCGCACAGTCCAATAGAGGCCTGGTCTAATGGCTGACCACAGCTTAAATAAGTACACAAATGACTCTCCCTGAGGGGGGTGAGGAAGCAGATGGATATGTGTCGCTCCTCTATAGATTTTCCTCCATAAATGAACCTGCGTCGATGAGGCACCAGCACTGCCTTATGTGTCCAGGCCGTTAATGGGACAAATGAGCTGCAATGTGCAGTATGTGGAAGGAGCCTGCTCAGTCTCATGTTTCTCTTTTATGCCTTTTCGGATGCTGATGGTATTGACGCTGCACCAAAGTTCATATGCAAAACACTCAATTTTGTTGAAGGATAAGCATATTTTCTAGGATACCGAAGAGATTAGATTGCAGATGGAGCTCAGTGGCCAGGGGTCTCAAGTTTCACATCATAATATTCTGGAGATGGCATTCTTTTTCAGTCATACTCTTAGCCGTTTGTACAGCAGTCTACAATAGATCAAGAATTAGAAGAACTGGTATAGGGATGTGGCTATAAAAATTATTTTAAAAGTATTAACTTCTTCTCAGTATTCCCAATGGTAATTTGGTGAAGGGAAACCCAAACTATTACATTTGAACTACAGCCCGACCGATTAATCGGCCGGCCGATAATATAAATATTAGCATATCAAGTGACTATCGGTATCGGCTACTTTTATCACAGATATGTGCCGTTATTACTTGATTTATATTCACCAGTCAAAAACATGATATTTGAGTTTTATTGTATTACTCTAACAGTTCTCTTACAGCAGAGTTTGCTATAAGGATAACAACAACCATTATCACTCCTCAGAGTGTCAAGCGATGATGCACGTGCATGCGCAGTTACTTTCCAGTTGAGTGACCAGCTCTTCTTCATTCTATATTTTTTCCACAAGTGTTTGATGACTGCATTTGAGGGATCAACACAATAAATATGTATATCTATATCTATATTTATCTCTACTGAAAACAGATCAAAAAAAGATATCGGACAATTTATCGGTATCGTAATTTTCCTCTTCCTAATATCGTAATCAGTATCGGACCCGAAAAAAGCCATATCGGTCGGGCCCTGATTTGAACTAATGTTAAATAATGTTTTTATTTTAAATCTTGTTTCTGAATCTTATTATTTATTTATTTTAATCTGTTTTTTGCATTGTGCCCATGCCTATAGACTACACTTGGTCTGTTTGTATGGTTACCAGTTTTGCATTGAACTGTATGTTTCTCATGAACTCTCACCTCTCCCCAAAAGGGATAATAAAGAATAACATATCTAATTAATTTAATTTAAATCTTAGGCTATTTTCTTACATTTGCTTTGGTTTTGAAAATCAGATGATGGTAGTCAAATTGTTACAAGGCAAAAACATTTTTGTGGAGGAAACAATTTAACATTGTTAAACAAATATAACTTTCAATAAACACAACATTCAACTGTAAAGATAAAAGGTTGCGGCTCAAAAAGAAGGAATGGATATCATCATAGCAGATGCTGGGATGGCTGAGCATTCTCCATGATAGAAATGACAGTGGAGCAGCGATTTTGGTCAGAATTTGTTAACGACAGAGAGTTTTTTGTTTAATACCATTTAATACAAATGTACAGCCTTTGACTCTTACCAAGCGACACATTCCTTTTTTTTTATTATGATCTTATATCCCACTGCACTAAAAGGTTTTTTGAATGCTGTTTGCTCCAATCTTCCCTTAAAGTCTCACTCCTCACAATCTGAAAAACAGATGCTTAATATTTTAGTCCATTGAGGTCTTGACGATGGAAATATCTTGGAGAATTCAAGCATGTGTTAAGGTATCACTGTAAGGCTCTGTTAGCATTGGGCTAAATCCCAACCTCAAGGAGATGTGCTTTAGATCTGCATCACATTACAGCTGCCTTCGCCTGAAAAAAAAAGACCTTTTCTCTGAATTAGACTACCTTGAGTTACTTGCATTTTATTGGAAAAGAAACCATGTTTTTCTCGTACATCTAAGCAATCTCAGTGGAGAAAAGGTTTTCTACAGCCATACCTACTATAGAGAATTTTTAAGTATCTTTTTTTTTTTTTTTTAAATCTGGATGATAAATCAAATCAAGCTAGCTGGACAATTTTCAATTCCCTCTCAACTTGCCGCCTCACCTGAGGTAGAATAACACTCAGAAGGCATAAAAGCAAACCAAGTTTCTTGGCGGAAAGCAAACTAAAGGCAACAGACAGGTGTTATGTTTGGTAATGATGTGGTCTGCAGTGGAAGTCGGTGTCTCACGTCGCTCTTTTGGCCCCATTTTTGAAAACATTTTCTCTCTCGTGCAGTGCTACAACTTCAGCCCTGAGCAATCCACTCCATGTCATTTGATCTCTTCTCTACTGTGTTGCACCTAGAACAGCTTAGAGCGTAAGCTGCCAGACTCCATCCACAAGGGTGTACAACACAACATCATCTGCGGCCATTGTGATTTCACAAGCCAGCTTCCACTTGGTTTCTTTCCTCGACACATAAAAATACACAGGAAGCGTGGAGAATAGGGTGAGAAAGCAAAAAAACACCTCTGGCATATTTATCACTGGGGAGAGAATCTTGTTTTTGGGGGTGTGAGATGGTATTCCCTTATGGTTAAACTCAGGCTAGAGGGCTGTTCATTCATAGTGGGAGTTTGGGTGGATGAGCCACCGCTGTCAGCAGAGATGGTGACTGGTGGAGTTTACATGGCTCAGTGCTGTATTTTAGCTGCAGGCAATGCAGCAACGGCAGCAACGGTGAGTCTTTAAGATTTAGGTTTCTCCAGCCACAGGCCAATGATATGAGAAGTAAATGGGGATTCATATTAAAACCACTAATGGAAACAACCTAGGATGTCCACAATATTCCCTGCTTTGGAGGCTTGATGCCGCTAGGTATCCTAATATAAAAATATAACGCCATTTCTATTACACATGAGAGAGAAACAAACATTTTTTCAGGTAATGACTTCTTCTGCAGTCGATTACATTTGAATTTAAGAGGAAAAAGAAAAAGACAAACTACATTCTCTAGTGTTTGTATACATAGATATGGTTCTTTGATAGAACTCTTTTCGTTATGCACTAATTTTATGTTGTTATGAGACTTCTGAGACTTCTTGATTGTACAGTGAAGCTTGCATCATAACTAAGTGCAGACCAAGAACATTTTTTTTACAAAATAATTAATTTTCCAAATAATTAATGAAGGAAAAACCCTAGTTGTCTGATTTAAAAAAACATGCATAAAACATGATGTTTGTGTGTGTGAGAGCAAATATGTCCCTCCTCCAACTAAGTCCTGGTCCGGGGGGCAAAAGACTCTCATTACTTCTAATACCTTTTGGCAAATCAAGATGAAACAAACAGAAATAGAGGAATATGGGGAACATCAGGGTAAACTTTATTAAACTTAATTAGAGTCAACGTCGCTTACTTTGGAGGATCACGTCCATAATGGTCACTCTCTGTAGAGGAGCTTTCACTGCCGCTGTAGTGCAAATGATCTCAAAGGCTTTTTCCCCAGTAATCGCTGCCTAATTTATGCTTTGATGTCGTCTGAGTATAGCATCTCAAGTCTGAGGGTGCACGGCGTGTGTTTATTCTGTTTATGAGGCCTAAATAATCCCTGCCTCTTTTTACCAACAGACCTTTAACAACAATTAACAAGCACGGACATAGAGTGCTGCAGACACATGCATAATGAGACAGATAGAATTATCCCGCTGAAAATGTTCAGGCCCAACCTGCTCATGGTAGGTTTCCAGCCGTCTAAAACAACCAGACGGAAATCTCAAACAAAAATCAAGCTTTGTGTCAATTGCAGTTAAAGCACTCCATTATTTGAAAGACACATTCTAAGACATTTAGGTGTTGAGGGGTCATTATGAAATTATTACGAAATGAAAAGGCTGCTGTTGTTGTAGGATTGTGTACGGAATACATAACGAAAGCAACCATGCAGTTACATTATTAAGAAAAGCTCAGATCATTAGATGGCTGGCATCAATTCAAGAATTTAGAGAGTTTTAACTTGGTTAAACAATTTTCAATAGATGGATTAATTGTAACTTGTGAGTTTTCAATGTTGTTGTTTTTTGTATTGAGGGAAATATGTGTGGAAGGTAAACTTGTTCTGCAAGCTGATTGTTCTTTAGATGTCATCTTACCATTTTTTTAATATATCAAAGCTGTGAACTGCAAACACTGACCCAATGTGCTCTTCTGTGTCTGCAAAAAAGCTGCATGACATTCTCAGTTCTTCACTAAATGCGTTACCACAGCCAAGTGGTGGCGCATACAGTAAACCTTACTATTTAAAATGCCATATGTTTTCTGGAGTGATTAACTCTGCTGCATGGTCTAGTCCTTTAATGGATGGTTCTGGGTTTGAAAGACCCCAGGTCACTACCTGATTCAATAAATACTGCCAACTTAGACGTTTATTGGCGGGATGGAGGAATGATAACCTGATTTTTTCTTTAGGCCCCTTAACTTTAATCAAGAAATGCTTCATCATGCACTGATATTTTAGACAATAGTGTGCTTCTTCTTTTTTCAGGAAACATTTGGGGAGGGTAATAGACAATTCAACATGAGCTGTGTTGAAATGAAGGAAAACAAGGTCCAAGAAGACATTTTGTTTGTTTGATTATGCAGACGAAACTGACTTGTTCAAAGTCCTCACACTAACCCCAATGATTACCTTTGAGATGATTTCTAACAATTGTGTGGCAGGTCTTATGGCCCAACATCAGTGATCAACCTGGTAGACACTCTTGTACTTTTAAAGGAGCATATTTCTGCTTCCATTTTCCAAACTCAGAGAGAGATCCTTTCCAGAAACAAAATATACTGAAAACTTAAAAGCCTCTTAAGATTAATGCCTGGGGTTTAATGAAGACGCATTGATGATCTTAGGAATGAGTCCTGCGTCTCTGACAGATTAACATCTGTCATGGTAAACCCACTGTCCATAAGTCACAGGGATGCATCTGTCCACAATAGTTTATTGTCAACCACAAATTTGTGTTAAAACAAGATTTTGCTTTCATCTGATATTGTACTGCTGCCAGCTCTTGTCAAAAACCTGACAGGTGTTTTCAGGAGGACATTCAGTAAATGTGTTATTTCAAGCTGAAATCACAACATAACGCTTTTAAATTAAATTAACACATTAGCTTGTTTTCTGTTGTAATGTCTGTTGTTGTTATTTTATAACTTTATTTGAGAGACAGGACAGTGGAGAGAGTCGGAAATCAATATGAGTGAGTGGGGAATCATGCTGGAAAGGAGCCACAGGTCTGATACGAAGCCTGGGCAACCCGCCTTGAGGATACAGCCTCTTTACATGGGCGCATAAACTACAAGGCTACCGCCACCCATACTGGATTTAATTTTGAACAGTGCTGTGAGGGCACATTTATATTTTTCAAGAATGATAATTAATTTTATAATTTTCCTGTTTATGCAAATTATTTAAAAAAAATTCTGAGTTTGTTTCTCAAGGAACAAAAGTTGTATTGGGGACCCATTCGATTTCAATGGGACTCACTCAAATTACCACCTGTAGGTGCCGAGGACTCACAGGTGGCAACCTATCAACATCACTGATGAGGTTTTCAAAAATGACTCTAATGGTAGTAACCTTCCTTTGTCCACACACTTTTTTGATCCTACAGCTCATCTTTTCAGATGTACAAACCAAATATAACAAATATCCTAACAATGTTCGCAGATACACTGACCCACCAAAACAAGTTACAGGAATAGTGTGTTGCCAAGAAGGCACTTCAGTAATGTGACACATAATATGATCATCTTTAGTTTCTGCTGTAGGTTATTTGATCTAATCACAGAAGTTATCAAAGAAATAACAATTAGCTGCTGTCTCCATTGTTAATAAATCAGCTAAAAGTGCAGCAAACAGACCAGTTTCACCTTCATGCTCGTCCTGTTATTGAAGCTCAAACATTAGAGGGGGGCCCTCATAACCTTCTCTTAACACTGTGGGGACCCACTGTGCAGGAGTTATCCCAGCAATATCCATTCTGGGAAATTGTCCTTTGGGCCTCAAGACAGTGTTTTACAAGAGCTGTTTTTGGACGAGGTGATAGGGAGCATCTGTGCACAATAACATGACAATGAGGAAGATGGAATGAGAGACAAATGAAGAGTTTAAACAGAAGCCCTCCTCCAAAGCCCACCACTAGGTGTTTAGAGCCTGATAAGGGGTCTTTATTTGGCCCTAAATTCTTCTGCTGCCAGGAGTTAATGAGCCATTAGTGTATCATCGCTAACACTTATCTCGCACAACCTTCACAAATACAATCATTATAATACGGTCAAAGGAACAACAGGCTGCAACTGCTCGCCCTTAGAGTCTCCTGGCAGCCAGGCTTTCACAAACTCTTGATGGTGTTGCATTATGATGCACACACTTTCGCCTTCTCTGTTACCGCTCAAAAGAGATTTGCATTTAAGGCAAGTAAAGCTGCTGGGTTAAGCTGACTTCATACACAAAACAAAACCAGCATTACGTTAACTTCTACTTCTTCCTGTAACAGAAATGGAAGAAGATGAGTACTGTGAGAGAAATGGGAAGCATGCTTTCAAACAGGACCAGTAGTTTAACACACTTATCTGTGCATGTGTACAGATGCATAACCTGGAACAGAGACTTTTTTCTAAAGCACAAGTTTAAGTTAACTTTGCACCAGCCGCCCGGGTGAAGAGGGGCCCTGGGGGCGGGAATGGAGGAGATGAGGTGGAGCTGGTCAGGGGCACATGAAGGGGATCAAGACTAACCCTGGAGGACGTGAAAGCTACACAGGTAGGAAGGAGGCCGGCCGATCTCCGTCCCTTGTGGTTCCCTCGCAGGTCAGTCCCAAGGACCCTACGTGTTTGCTCTAGCCTGCCTGACCCCCGACCGTCCAACGCTCCACTTTGCTCAGCTGTAGTCGTGGCCAGGCAGGCAGGCGGATGGACATCCCTTAACAGGCAGCATTGGCGGCACCAGGGCTGCTAGCCTGTAATTAGCTCGGACAGCTCAGGCTTGGAGAGAGGCAGCCAGGCTATATCATAATGAGCTCAGCTGGGATTAGGAGGACAGGGCAGGAGGGTGAGCAGAGGGGAAAATGGTAGAGAGGGTGGGAGGGGGGGCAAGTACCCGAATTCTGGCCTCAGCCTGATGCAGCATCACAGAGGGCCGCAGGGAGGCAACTGGAAAGACAGGCAGGAAGAGGGGAAGGAGAAGGTACAGAAGCAGATGATAGAGGAGGGAAGAGGTTAGGAGAGGTGAACACTGGGGGAGATGGAGGAAAAAGAAGTCTGTGGCTTTAGGCCAAGCTTTGTGTAGCATCATAAAGGGTCAGTGGTAGTGGTAAGGTTACAGGGGGTTCTTCAGATCAAACAAGACAATGGTTATACTAAGGCCTGAGACAGACTAAGAGACAAAGACAACTTAAAGAAAGAGCAGGAAGCAGAGTGGGAGAAGTAACAGTGAAGGACATTTAATGAAAGATAGCTCTTGCAGAAAATTCTAATAACTCTCACACATTCACTCATGAAAATTTCAAAAAAAAAAATTCAGGACAGCCTGCTTTCAAATCTTCCTGAGTTACTCTTTCACATGCCCTTCACAATAGGAGATTTTCCCTGTCGAAAACAGGAGGTAACATTGACAATTTGGCTGTTTGTGATCAGCTCACCTCGAAAGATTCAGAAGTTTTGTAGATATGTGAAAAGGCTATAGGTCAAGACTTCCACACCGCATAAACCTAAAGTACATGAAGTGTCTTACTGACACTCACTTCATCACAGTAGCAAAAGGACAACAGTTTGGTGTTGATATTTAATCACATGTAATAACTTCTCAAAGACACAGCCAGAGATTGAGATAATGTTATTTTACTTCCTGCACTTTTATGTGCAAATCTTTGGGCAGCCAATTTTGCAAATGAGCACAGACTCTAATGATCCTACTTTGGCCCCTGCTGGTTGGTAATGATGTGGAGGGTTAGGTGAATGCTGTGAAGCTGGGAAGGGCACTCAATATTTTGCAACACCCACAAACAAGAGGGGACAGTGGGAGAGCGTTTCGGTTTGTGTGTTCAGGGGTTAGAGAGGGGAGGTTCAAACGAAAATGTACATGTACACTGCAGGTGACTTACTTTTCAATGTTGAGTTTCCTGGTGAGGTTTTTCAAGTAAGCTAGCTCATTCCACACTGAATCGCTGTTCTCTTGTCTTAGCTGCCATGGTTCTGCACGCTGCATCCTTCCACCTGGCCTGAACATACACAACAAATACAAAGACATAAGTAGAAATGTAGAGGCAAGCAAAGGCATACATAAAAAAATAACAGAAGATTTATGGCACACATACACACACACATGGAAAGTAAACATGCTAACAAGGGGAAATGGTTGCTACTGTACATTATTGTGCTGCCTCTGGCCAACACACATGGGGTAACAAGGCCCCTTAGTCTCATTCTGTTTTTGTTATTCAGCCATCTTTAGCAGTATTCAAATGAGCAGCCTTGACTTTGACATTTCAGTGGTGAATCCTGTACACACGTATGCATGTTTGTTGGAGCCCAGGGCGCTGCCCATGTGGCAGGGCGCTGGACCATTCCCTGTGTGCAATGCAAATGTAAATAATGGCAAAAACACACTCGCAAACGAGGTCATTCAAATGACTACACCTCACTTATGAATACTTAATGACAATTTGTGCTCAGTAGCAGCCCCTTCCATTGAACTTCCCCTTTTTACGAACACACACACAGAGACACACGCACACACCGTTCCTGCTGCCCCCAACTGCATCCCTGCACACCCAACTCATCAATCAGTCTTGGCCCAACACATTCAATTCCAATTAGCCTTTCATTTGAAAACTAAAACGGCATTTACAGAGAGGTTGCAAATTCAGCAGATGAGGAGAGTATTGTCACACACAGACACACATACCACAGTTTCCCACATCCAGACAATCAATGAGGCAGAGGTGTGGAAATGGATGGTGAGGGTCACCGCGATTGCAGCGGGTCTCTTTTTCCTGCAGTCATTATTGGCCATGTAGACACAGCCACGCTACGCTAATACTAGTTAAACCCTGGTGCCTGGGAGTTGAGGCTACCGAGGAACGGCAAATGTTTTCATTTAATACTGCTAATGCCCCCGTGTGCAATTTAGAGCACTTGAACTTCTTAGTTGCGTGTGTGTGTGTGTGTGTGTGTTTATATTCATGTGCTTTCTGTTGGCTTGGGTTAGTTTCCCAGAGTGCAAAGCTACTTAACATATAATCTCACTGTATGGTCACAGAGACTGATACACTTTTTCTCATTCTATTTCACTGAACACAGTGAATTTAGCATAAACTATCTTAAATCTGCCCGGAGCAGTAATATAACCTAATATTTTACCCACAGCTCTGTTTTAATTTTCTCTGTGTGATTTTTAGGTATGTAGTGTATCAATTCCACTTTTATGAAAGGTGCATGAAGCTTTATTAAGTCACGGTAAAGCTTTATACATTTTAATTTGTTTACAGTGGGCCTAAAAGCTGTTGAACATTGGAGCCATGAGAGAGCTATCTTATTCAGGCCTCAGTACTTCCTCCCTGATGGTATCCTAGTTTCCATTATTAAGCAGGAGGAAATAGAGAGAACTTTTCCATGCTGCTGCGGCTAATTGCTCTGATTCAGGGGGAATCTGTTTATGGGCGCAACTTTGATCAGAGTACGGATGCTTTAATAACCTTTAATTTTATTTGCTCACCCCCATCATCCCCAGTCTGATTAAAAAACTTTTTTCCCTTCACTAATATAAATAAGAAGTTGGCTTTTTTCCCCCTCTCCTTTATGCCATTTTGGGAAAATATGGTAGTAATGGTGAATGGCAGGGTGGTTTCCATGGGACTGGCCACTTATGCACTACCGGCATGCCAATGAGCCTGTGCTCTGTGTATAACTGGTAGTTTCTAGCCTGGTTATTTAACGCATGGGTGACGTCACTTAGCAGTAAACCGTACAGCAACCAACTGTCCTACTCTGTGCTGTGTTCTGCTGTTAAGGGATAAAGACTCAAATGAGGGAAACACAAATCAAGGAAGGTATCGGAAATAATGCCAGTTTCTATCACCAATGTACCTTATTTGGCTCATAATGCATATCTCTATATATACTGTGTATATAAATTGAAGTGTTTTTAAATACAGAAATGTTAAGAGCAGGTAAGGAGAGAGACACGTCACAGACTCATCTTTTGGTCCTGCACAAAAAAAGGGGAATAAAAAAGGGACCCCCCGCATCTTTCCAAAAAGGCAACAACACAGCATGGAAGCTACAGAGAAATCCCTAACAAGCTCCAAATGCAATGAGACTCGACGCCGATCCCTACTGACTTGTTAGGGCCCTGATTTCCCAGCACTAATGGGAGTATTTAAGTCATTTTCTATTGTCTCTCATTCAGGCTGGCATTACCCCAGTGGGTTTAAGAGCTATTTAAGGATGGGGCTTAATGCCAAATGAATGCCAGGATCATAACTTTGAGTGACTGGCTGATGCCATGGAGGGCTCTGACTGAAAAGGGCAAAGCTGCCTATTGCATCAATTTGATGTGAAATCAGTCATGAAATTCAGATACTCTGACATTGGTGCGACAAACTTGATATGAATTTGTAGTTCGCCTTAGCTCTCTACACTTTATAATAGCCCTGTTTATCTTATTATAATTTGTTTCTAATAAAACCAAGCTCTTCATCTTTCAGTCTGACAAAAGTACATTATTTCACCAGACAGAACCTTCCTATGATAACCTGCTAAAATGTATAACAGCAGCTTGACTGGTGTTGACTCTGAGAGTCTTCTCCCCCTACATCTCTCTGTCTTTGTTCCCACTGTCTCAGACACATGCTGTTGAGCCGCGCTGAGCTGACATGAGCCGAGTCGAGCCTAGCGCTGAACACGCTCTCTCACTCACTCCACTTTCACACGGGCTCACATTGCAATTCTGTTTTCTTTAATTAACCCAGAGAGAAAACAGCTGAGGGGGTCAACACTTTGCTCCTGCGTCGCCACCAAACATATGGGCCTTTAGTTACACTTCACAAAGGATTCAATGACGCTGTTGGAGGAGAAGAAACAGACAAAAAAAACGTAGGAATAGACTCTGGGAGACAATTGAGAGAACAAGACTTCTATATTGATGACATTTTCCAGCACATTTTCTGCTTTGTGTAAAAAATCTTGTGGTTTCTGGTGAAGATAACAGGTCGAAGCAGGAAATGGCCCTCAACCTCCTCCTTCTGCTCCTCTCTCCACATCCTTCCACAGGCCTTTTCTAACACCTTGCACCCCCCAGGACCAGACACCTCCAGCCTCTGGCTCTCACATCCTAATGAATGCTGAGGGAGAGCAGACGCAGAAGCGCACACACTTGGCACAAAACGGCCCAAATTGACTGGGCTTAAAACCTCTGAGCTTTTACGAGGCAGAGGAAAAAATTTCTCCTGCTCTCTCAAATCCAGCACTCAGGTCTTGTCAGACAACATGTGGAGAGCAATGAAGCCCTAGGACTATTTTTGAGAGGTGTCAGGGGGTTGTAGCATTACACAGGGGGTTTTTAACATAAGGAAGGCAGAGCTGTGTAATTTAAAATGTCTCTCATTGACTACTGCTGGCTAAAACAGGATGTTATCCAAGTTCAAGGTTGCAAATGATAATTATTTCATATTCAACTAATCTATAAGTATATAAATCCAAGAAAGTTGTGAAAAATGCTAATAACAATTACTTTGAGCCGAAAGCTACATGAATTGGCAAAAGCAGTACCGTACAGCTTTACTTTTAAGATGCTGGACACAGCAAATGTTTAAAATGTATTGCTTGAAAAATCCCCACAAAGATTTAGCATGACTGTGAATTAAAATTCAGAGATCTTCTTTGATCTAAAAAAAAACAAGTCCTGTGTATTGTGAGTGGTTACACAGTTTTTCATGACATATTTTGTGTGACTGAGGTGTTCCACTTAACATTCTAGTGAATACTCACAGGACGGCCGATTTCTCCATCTCTTTCAGTTGGTCTCTGACTGTCTTGTAGTTGCTCTGAATCAGACAAAGCCGTTCACGACGTTTATCATGTGCCCTCCTCAACTCGTCATTCTCCTGCATCTGGGTTGCACAGGGACATGATTTATCCCATTAAAAAGTTGTACATGTCAAATGAAACATACATTTAATGAAAAAGGAGTTAAGATTCATGTACAACAGCACAGCAGTGGTCCAGGAAGGAAGCTGAAGCAAACCTCTCACCGTCTACATATTTAAAGAAGTCCACAGCTGAAACACCTCTTCTTGACAGTAACCAGCAGGCTCAGGTTCTTTGCTTTTCTTCACATTTCTCCTTGACAAGTGCTCCCACTCTCACTGAGCAACTGAGACATCATTAAAAGACGACATTTACATGACGAGTCAGCTGGGCCACAGCTAACTAACACACACGCGCGTACACACACTCACACACAGCTAAGACCTAACCCACTCAACTGATGTCCAGCACAAACAGTGTTTGGGGCGTTAGTAGCGTTGACTTTGTTGCTGACACTGTTGTTGACAGCCATTAAAACACAAGCAAGATTGTGCTTGAGCTTTAAAGAAGGAGTAAGGGAAGACAACATATAGATTTTTCTTGTCAGGGGCAACCCTCCTCCCCGTCTCACTGACCTTAACAGCGAGGGTGATGGAGAAAACACTTTCAACAGGCAGGACAAACAGAGGTGGAAAAGAGAGCGGAGGGGGGAAGGAGGGGGGAAAGGCAGCTGATGAAAATAGAGAAAAGAAAAAGAGAGAGAACAGAGAAATTAGGAAGAGAAGAAAGAGAGCAAAGCAAAAGAGAAAAGTGAAAAGAAGAGTGCAGGACAGGTTTCTGCTTGAGTGGCCAAGGCTGGGGAGAGTTGTCGAGCGCTTTCTGAAGGGAAGGAGCTTGTTTACTGCTGATATGACACGGCTGCCCTGCAGAGAGGGAAATGCGAGCCCTCAGCCCTGTTATTATTAACAAGGACAAAGAGAACAGAGAAAGCACACAAACATGCTCCGGACACATTGCGGGTGCGGGTGCGTACACACACACACACACACACACACACACACACACATACACGCACACACACACGCACACACACTCGCACACACACTCGCACACACACTCGCACTGCCAATGTGACAAGTATGGATTTTCCCTAGTGCAGATTATTCACATAGGACATCAGCAAGACATCCTTGGCCCCTTCAAGCTGCCCCAAACCCCTCAAAAGCAAAGCTCTAATGAAAGGGGGCCAGACTAGGGCAGTGTTAACTGGTGGAACTAGGAGCTCAGGGAGGACACAGAAGTCTTGAGGCTGACTGATGGAGGAGAAGGGGGGGGGCAGGATATAGCAAGTGGCAGGGCATTAGCCACATCATGGCTTCCCAGGCTCCTTATAGAGCTTCCCCTGGGCAGCCCGGCTCTGGTCATCAGGCTACAGACCCTTGCCCACCGATCAATACACCCCCTTACCCAGCTAGCATACACATCTGTGGACGTTCTCAAGCTGAAAAATAATTACAGAGCAACAGCTACTGTTTACTTGAAAGTGTGCAGAAGAAAAAAAGGGGTCATTATTATGAGTATTGTTTGTTTGTCTGCTGCTGTTAGCTGCTAAGGTCAACATGTCAATGGTACAGTCTGGCGTACCCAATTTGAAAGCTTTTCTATTGGAAAGAATTGAAGAGGATCAACTAGAGAATAACAGGCTGGACAAGTGAAGTACCACTACATGACGCTGGAGGTGAGATGCCTGCTGTAGATGATGGTGGGCATGATGCTCAATGCAAGCTCAAGGCAAAGGACATAAACACTAAATCATGCTCTCATTAATATGGTCACAGATTTGAGTTGCTAATCACCGTTTTCCTGTGCATACCTTTGCTAAATGCCCCTCAATTGGCAGACACGTAAATGGCACCATTACCAAAGACAGTCATGCGTGTCATCTGCATCTACGTTGAGCATTGCGGTCCAATGAGGTGTCTTCCAGTGATGTAATTCAGACACTTCAGATCTGACAAGAAAATGATGCCTAATGTGTTCCTGGATTGTGCTCAAAGGGAGATGACCTCTGCATAATCACTCACTCACTGGTCAGGCGGACAGATGGAAAGGATAAAGAAAGGCAATGGGGAGAAAAGCTTTAGGCGAAAGTCCAGACAACGGAAGTGGAAAATATACGTTGCTGACATTAAATAAAAGAGAGAATGAAATGTATTGAAACCTGGAAAGAAACATTGGGGAGAGGTGAAAATTAAGTTTATTTAGCTTGGAGTGATTTTGAAAAATTGCAAAGAAAAAAAAAAAAGAATGAAGAATTGTGGGAGAAAGACGTCAGAGGGCATGTGAAGGTTAAAAGACCAATAAAGCCGATTCGTTTCAGTGGAGAAAAACGTGCTGCATCCACTTTCACCAGCAAAGCTCCTCTCCTGCTGTTTCACTGCCTACGCATGCTCTGCACTCACTCGCGTACGTTTATGTACGTGTTGTGTGTGTGTGTGTGAAAGACATTGTCAGAGAAGGTCATGGAGGAGGCAGTGGCAGCACAAGCGCAATTGAACCCTTTGCAGATGGTGACTGTTACAGAGCTTCCAACAACCCAGCGGCTGATAGCAGCAATCATATGTGTGAGATAGTGGCCCGAGCAACAAGCGGCTCCATTAGAGCCCGTCTTTGGCCCCACACACTATCAGCTGAACACCACTATACCAGTCTATGTGCCCTATTGAGCTAAGAAGGCTTCAAAGTGTTTCAAAGACACAGGAAGAATGATGAAAAAACGTTGAGCTAGAATACACACAATAAAGCGGGTTACAGAAAATCAAGGACAAACAGTTAGGCCATAATGAACATTTGGACATAGTTATCTAGGTAAGAGAAAACAGGAGGATATTATTCTATACAGACTCTATACAGACTACAGTATGTTAACTATTTACCTTTAATTGCAGCAGCTCCTCAAGGTCTTGAATCCTCTGTTCTGCCCCCCCTTTCCTCCTACAGCCCAACTCCACACTGCTGGCAGGGGACAGAGACCTGGACCGCTGCACAGGTTCACCCTGGGATAGGTAAGCAAAGAAAGCACTGGGGTGAGTCCTAAGAACACACTTCACTTGAACACAAAGGCACAGAGTCATGCAACAATTAACAAAATAGAAACACTGCATGAATGCCAATTTGTGTTCACTCCATTCTCCTCCTCTCACCTTGAGTAAAACACACACATTGTCTTCCTCGGTGTACACATATGCACACACAAACTGGCGGGCTATCATAGGAATAAAGCAAGCTGGAGCAGCGGTCTGCAGAAGCTGTAGGGAGGAGGTTCAGGTTTATGTGTGTGTATGTGGATGTGTGCGTGTTTGGAAGCGGGAGTTGCAAGCTGAGAGCGGCAAAGGTTTCTCCCTGCGACTGGCTAATGAGTATGTTCATTTCCATTTACATTGTTTCTTTGACAATAATGATGTCCCATTAGGGGAGACTAAAGGGGCTATAGATTCCAGAATGTGCTGGGCTTCATTACAAGAGGTGGGCAGGGAGGCCGCTCTAATTGCTCTACCAGGGGCCTCCAGGTTACACTTGATAGGACAACTGGAAGAGCTGCCGATTAGGAGGGGGTTGCAGTTTGCTAGCCAGCCTCTTCTGTGGAAATAAATAAAGAAGTTGAGAAGTGCTGGGGCCGCACTGTAGAAAAGCAGTGGGAACAATATGCTAGTGGAATATGAATATGAGAGGATATGTGGCCCCCTGTGGTGCCAGGCAGGGCTGACCAGATGGCAGGCTAAAATATGCAATGCGACTAAACGTACTACAGTCTTTGGGCTGGAGTGGATGAGTTGCACAGGAGGTGTGGGGAGGTTTATGATAGCCACGAAAGATGAGTTATAATGGCTGTTCCAAGCTTTTAAAGTAATAAACGAAAGACCTCACCTTGTGATTTGATTCACACCTTGTGGAAACAGTAGATGGTTTGAATATGATACAAGTATCTACACAAGTCCCCGTTAACTGCTAGCAAAGCCAGAGTAACCTGTACATGTCTTTACATTACAGCCAAACCAACTGTGGAGTGTGAAGATTCATTGCATTAAGTCTAAAGAAAGAAAAGATCGAATTGACAGAAGGATAGTTTAGACGTGGTTGAAGATGATCATGCCTTAGAACTATGTAAACTGCATGCATGCGTTACATCCTCTATGTCTAATTTTCTGTGGTTATCTCAAATAGGACACTCAAGTTGAATCATGTCTTGTAGAAAGAAACTATGACAGTTACAATGAAGGCTGAAAATGTTATTAAAGAAGGAAAATACTTTAAATGCAGCCCCATAAGTAAGTCAGTTGTATTGAACTTGTTATATAAGTAGAATAGGCAAGTTTGTAAAATCATTTTACAGTCACAAAAAGATTGCTAGTGTTTGGGAATGTGCCTTTGAGCTACGGTTGCCTTCAGTGACCTGGTGTGCCTGTTTTTGCAATCATGCCTGTGTGGGTGCCAAGCATGTGTTCTAACTCAGCCTTAATGACTCTATGCAACTAATTAGCAGATTGATCTGCATATTCCTGATGAGTGGCAGGCCAACTGGCTTAGCCTGTGTGTGCATGGGGAAACCAGAGAGGCCAAAGGGGGAATCTGATTCATCTAAAAGGCCAAAACTCAAAAGTAAAGATGACCAACTCTAAAGTCTTACTTTTTAAGGATGCAATCTTCTTGGTTATTAGGTAAAAGCATTAATGAGGAATATTCATTTATCAAATAGTGTTATATTCCATCACGTGTTTCCTTCTGTATGTGAAAACCAGTGGACATAAACTGCTGTGTGCTTTGTGTGAAGGAGTACAGAGGAAGATGACATGGTGACACAGACAAATGACTGAGATTTGCTGCAGATGTTCACTCTGTTCCAGATGAATGCCTGTCTGCTGCAGGTCCAGAAGACGCATGAATGCCTTCTGTTTGTGTAGGAAGCGCTTTTTTGTGACGTTGTTAATGTACTGAAAGATAAAAAGCAGAAACGGGGAGGCAGAGAAAGATGTGACCGCTATCTACCTCAGCTCGGCAGCTGGTTGGCGGCCATGACCTGACCTATGCCTCACACCCTGTAATAGCTCTGTAAACATGAGAGAGTGATGCAGATGGAAGGGGGGAGGGGGGTATACAGTAGCAGGGAAATGAGGAAAAGGCCTGTTTCCAAACACTCTGCATGTAGCTAAGAGTTACACTCTTATTTACTGAGGGGTCAGTGTCACTGGCGGAAAAGCAAAGAAGAAACAGTTCATCTACTGCCTCCCTCCTCCCTTCACCTCTCCTCCACCCTCTCTCCATCTCCCAGAGAGAGGGGTCACTGTCATCAATGGGCTTCTTTATGATTGCAGCAGCGTATCATGTGTGTGTCTCAAAGCTGAACTTGTTCAGGTTCTCAGCTGAAAAGGAATGTTGTACACAAGCACACTAGCACAGGGCAAGACACAGACAGACAGCCAGAAATAAATCCAAATGTAAACAAATGGATGCACACATAAGTGATTGTACACCATCACACAAAAAAATCTATGAAAGGAGCACAAAATTCAAAAGAATGAGATTTCTTCCCAAACAGACTAACGTGAGGACAGGAAACCTGAAAACTGGAAGTTGCAGGTTGACAGCATGGTGTGGTGCTCTTTTAAGAAATCCGCCTCACACAGAAAAAGCCGGCGTAAAACTTGTTGTAAATGTTTGGTTATCAGGGTAACACTACTTCTCTGAGAGCTGACAGTTATCGCACTGTATGAAATGCCCCTAAACTGTGTCCAAAAACTGTATTTAATTTACTGATAACAAATGAGCAAATTCATTTTTTTCAAATCATATCAAAGTAATATTTTCAAGAATCAAATCCCAAAATATCATTACAGCAACATGCTAGCCATGTAACACTGTGCAATGCTTGTCACTTTAACTGATTATTTCACTTTAGGGACATATTTAAAGAGCTGCAAATTGTGGCTCTGGGGATCGCAGTGAGTTGCACACAACGTCTCATTTCATCAGCTTTTGACCTTGTAGATTGGTATTGGTATTTGGTGTTCAGATACGAAGCAGCCAACAGCAACAGTGACTTAAAAAAGGGGAACATTGTTAACTGTAAGGATTTACATGACCCTTTAGGGGTATTTTACAAAGCTAAAGTGTGTAACCTTATGTTTAACCCATCTTTTGATTTAGGTGGAGAATCAATTGTTGGCTAAAGAGTTGTTCATGCCACTGTGCAACATTGCTGGTGTCCTTTTTTTGCGACTGAGTTAAGTTATTTCCATAATACTGATACAGTATGTTTGGACTGTCATGAAAAAAAACAGAGGGAGTTGGAAATGAAACTCCACAGTGAAATTACTTTTTAAAGTATTAAAAGGTTATCAGTGGACGACCATAGTTTATTTTTCATTAGAAATTGTATTCTGTACATTTGAATGCGGAGTTTAATCAAACATATTGATTCCAACAATTATTTTAACAAATACATGTTTTAGTTTGGATTCTATTGAAAGGGGGACAACATGCACACTGTAATGAACACCCCAATTAATTCAAATATTTATGTATATAACTATCATAATGATTCATATTATCATTCAGCGATAGCATGTATCTAAAATGTAACAGCTATAGTCTAGCTCTTATATAAAGTGTTGTCTTTCGGATGAAAATTGGCACATTTCTTTGTAATTAATAGCTAGTTCATTAACTAGATGTGCAGTGTGGCAGTGCATTTCGGATAGATTTTATGTGTGTGTGTGTGTGTCTTTGAGCATACAAAAAGGAGTCCCCCAGTACATCTACTAATGTCAATACTGCTTATTATTTTTGTACAAAATAATAACATTACATATATAAAGCGCCTGAACAGAAGCCCTTTCACAAAGGCTATAATGAGGATAGCAACATAAATCAAACAATGTGTCTCCAGGCCAGCTTAATAGTGAGTGAGGCCATCTAGAAACATGTCCTGGCAAACTTATGAGAGGAATACTGAGAAGATCAAAAGATTCTTTCTTGTTCATAATGTACTGCTGAAGCGGTAAATTAGCCAGTGCCTGAGTCCAAGGCATGCGTGAAACCAGCAGCACACGTCGGCCTGGTCACAGTAGGAGGGGCATCTGTGTTTGTGTGTGGGTGTCTGTGTGTGTGTGTGTGTCTGTGTCTGTGTGTGTGTGTGTGTGTGTGTGTGTGTGTGTGTGTGTGTGTGTGTGTGTGTGTGTGTGTGTGTGTGGGGGGAGAGTTCAGGACAAAGGTTGGCAGAAGCAAGGTCTGATAAATCACATGATTCTCTACAGACCATTTCCTTCATATCCTTTCTCTATGGCTTTGATCTAATCTAAGCTAAGCGGTGATGGATAAGTGTGGGCATGTAAGCTGCTCACCCACGTGCTGCCTTTGACATAATTGGCAGGAGTGTGTGCTAACCTACCTGCTGTCTTCTGACAGAACCGGTGGATCTGCGTTGAAGGGTCTTATCCTCTGGCCTGGGATCGGAGGCTCGAGTGGAGCCCCACTCAGAATCAGGGCTACACCTCTGAGCTGCACCATCAACCTGCTCTGAAACCACTGCCTGTAAGAGGAGAGAGACAGTGGATATGTTTTTGAAGATGTGTTGATTCAACAGAAAGATGCTTTATAATGAAGCTACAGGAAAGTATTTAAGTATCCCTAATGAAGGACGAGTCTTGAGAAGTTTAATTGTAATCTGGTGTATGTTGCATAATGACTTTGTCTTGATCAAACTAACTATAAACAAAGAGTTGTATGTTATCTGTTCAGGAAAAGTCAAAAAGCAAGAAATAAATACATCTTTACATTGTTTTTACTTTTTCTGATTATTATTACATGTACAAACATCAGTATATATGTGGAAAACTGATTGAAAGATCGAAATACCATTTTGCTGCAATGTTAATTACTTGTAACCTGAAGCACATGGTGTTGTGTTCTCACTCAAAGCCACATTTAGATCACAAGCACACTCAAGTCTTCACAAATTAGAAGCCAAGTTATTTATATTTCCACTTTGATTGAATTATCTGCCAAATAAAATCAGGAAAGTGGAGAATATCAGAACATGAGAAAGTTTAAAGCAGTTGAACAGGCTAACCCTTTGACATAAAACCTGTGGCAGTGGGATAGCTTTTTACCACCTCTAGTATTTTGCTATCAAGGTCCCTCTACTAATTCAGCCATCCAAAGATATATTGCCTGGCAATTCAAACGAGCTGGCGGACTGTCAAACGACTGAGTTCTACAATGTTAAATGTAAGAAATAGATTTCAACTAATGTCAGTAATGCAAGCTAAGCTAGTTCTGATGCAGCTGTTGAGGATGCTCGGTGACAGGGGTGGCACTTGGAAACAAAATGGTAAGAGCGGGGTAAGCTGGTAACGCAATTGGGGAATCCTCTGTCGACCCGACTGTCTCACTTCAGCTGGCATGAGCGGGCTATGAAGGCTGGATCTTTCGCAGGATTGGTCCTAAGAAAGACGCTCCCCCCCCGAAATGAGACACAGCTACTGTCTCTTAGCCTGTGTCTGTAAGCATCTGCTAATCTCTGCACACAGCAGGGACTACAAAAATAAACTGAGGGGGAACACGATGTAGCAGAAGGCCAACCAAGAGGGGAGGAGGTTGTTGGGCAAACACACCCATCAATACATACACTACTGTACCACATGAACGCCCTTTTATTGCAACCATGCAAGTATTGATTTATAAAGTCCAGGTCACTTAAATGTGACAGTTTAACATTTGCTGCAACTGCTAGCTATGAACCACCTTTGAAGATCTCAACTCTTTTGTGTGTGTCACAGGGGATGTATGCACTCATCAAATAAGTCTTGGTAATGCTCCTTTATATTGAAGTCAACACACAAACAAACTTACATGCCTTTTCACTCCACCACCCTATATTCTCACCTTTCTTTTCCTAAACCCCTTTATGAAAGGTGTGAAACACTCGATAAACAGCATCACCTGCTGCCATCAACAACACATCTTCTCAACACATCAAATCACAGCCTTTAGTCAAACAGAGGCCTTCACAACTGTGTTTTCAAGGAGGCCAGGTAGTGAAGAAAAGCACACAGGATGTCATCACCTTTTCTCCAACTAGTCCTGATTGCATTATCAGAAACCTGGCATCTGGGCGTGACCTTGTTAACTGCCAGGGTAATCAACTTTAACCAAAGGGGAGGAGAGGGGATGATAAATTATTAGTGAGGAAGATTTTGTTCATGTTTTATTAAATTGGCCTGTCAAAGGGGGGTTGGTCAAATTATCTGGGGCCTCGTTTATTGGAGGCCGGCCATATTGGCGCATCTGTTACAATTATTTATAATTTTTAGGCAGTCAGGAGGATGGACTGGGTTTTTCGGCATCATCCACATAAAGCAATTTAGAAACTAACTGATGTGGGAGTGTCTGACTTTTTCCTCTCTCGAAAAATCCCCTTCCTGACTTTTATCCAGGAAAAACAGAAAAACAGGCAAACTGTTAGAGGGTGAAAACAAAGTTGTTACAGGGGACAAAGATAAACATATTACAAGCAGCTTCTTAAAAGCAATGGACAAGGACAGAGCATAGGGCTGAAAGAGAAGAAGAGAGCGTGCAGGTGCAGTGAGAAAAAAAAAAAAAAAAGAGCAAGAGATTTGGGAGGAGGCTCAGGGAGGGAGTGAGGCAGGGTGGGGGGAAAAAAAAGAGAAAAGCCGGTCTTGGTAATTACTGAACACGATTAGGTTCTTGGGGGAACTTGTCTGGCACTCACAGCCCTCGCTGGTGAGGATGCGGCAGGCAGGACCATATGGAGGGAGGCTTGTGATTGTGCTCCCTGAAGCTCGTGACCCGTCTGCTGCCGAGCCCTTGAGCTGAATGTGAAATGAGACTTGCCAGGCCTAATGTTCTACACATGCACCATTTATGCCACAAAACAAATCTGATCACTGTTAATTATGTAGCAGCTATAATCAGGAGGGGCCCTGCCACACACACACACACACACACACACACACACACACATTACAGAACTGCATCAATACACAAACCACATTCACGCACACATATGTGGAGCAGGATCATTTCAGAAAGTGATTGGAAAGGCTTAAGAAGTGAGGGCTAGAAGGGGCATGCCCCCCACCAGGCCAGGTGCACTTTGTATTCAAGGTGGTGATTCTTCCAAGAATGTGTGTGCATATATGTATGAGTGTGTGTGTGTTAACTGGTAGGCAGTGAAGAGGGACTTTATGGAAGGACAGCGCACAGTAAGTAGGATGTAGGATGTGTGTGTGTGTACACAGCCCTGAGTCCTCCCACACAGCCTGTTTGACCCGAGTGTATGTGCTCAAACGAGTGAGCGCACGTATCTGCAGCGGCACATGGCTGTGCTTCGTTAATGAGGAGGGTTGTGCTACACAGAGGTTCTCATCTAATGAGAGCAGTTGAGCTGGTAAAACACACCACTGGAGTCCATGTCATTAGTGTGTCTCTGGCCCTGGACATGGCCCGACTCCAAACACACGCTCAAGCACAAACGCGTTGTTGACAACACTGTTTACCGAATAACAAATGCAGCATATGCAAGATAAGCGGCTGACAAAAATAGCATTAGAAGTCATAAAATATTTATCTGCATTATTATGGAGCACTATTTGAATGCATAACCTTTACACAGGGTGTTCATATTGAAAGGATGACTGATATAACAGGAGAGAAGAGGCGTATGTAAATACAAACAGCAGGTTGTACTTTTAACATACTCTAAGGGGGGTCCTGACAGTTAGGCTGAAGAAATGGCCTTCCACATGGGGGAAAAATGAAAAGCAAAACAAGGCCTATGTGAAAAGCAAATTTACTATGTCTGACATTTACAAGCTTTCAAGTACATTCTCCCAAACATAACTATAGAGGCTGAAAGTACCCGCTATTCTCATGCTGTTACAAGTTGCACTGAAAGATCATAAAAGTTGAGTTAAATACAGTACGTAAAAATACACAAAAGAACCCTAAGGCTGACATTGTACTGTTTTTTTAGCTCTATTTAAGAAAATAATAATTTCAGTGTTTCTTTGTGGCATTATTATTCCATCCTCTTCACTTGATGGTTGCCATTAATGAGGATGATCAAAAGGAAAGCCTCACCTAAGAAAAACGTGACCCGGCAAAGCAGTGGGTGTACTGCTGCACGTACGTGTGTATCTACCATTTTAATTATACATCTAAAAGTGTTTAGATTGGCTAACATAAATAACAAGCCAGAAGCAGATGCTGAAAACCATCTCAACAAGCTGAGGGATATGCACCATGTGGGCTTCCTTCCATTTAATAAAAAAAAAGGGGGGGGGGGGAAAGGGCCTGGACACCTGGGGAAATGTTGCTTCTGTGCTTTAGGTTCAGTCTATAAAAGCCAATATCAGGGACTTTAACATGTTTACAACATTTTGTGTTATGTATGCCAAAGCTGCTTAAAAATGTGAGTGTAACACCTCCGCAGGTACACACTACCTCCTTTAAGACTGGGTAAAATGTGTGGTTTTTAAGTGGTGATATCTAAGAGAACAGGTGTATTTAACATTTTTAAACAGACAAGATTTTGACTTGTAATAACCAAAAAAAAAAACAATGGTATTTCTAACAACATTGCTGTCTATGACTTTCATTTGTTGAAGGGTGCAGCTGTATCAGTGAGCAAGAATAGTCATCCCCATAACCCTGGACTGGTGAAAAGAATAAAAGCCTCATTATTTTTAGTATTACACTTTTGCTTTTCCAACACGTATGTGTCTTGTTAACATTAAAGTTTGACTACGCTAAAACTACAAAGAGACTGGAGCGTCTTTCTCTTGTATTCATCTGAAACTTTTCTGGACTGAAATGAAAATGCCTAATTTTCCCTTTCCAATGCTGATGAGAGAATAACCAGTGCTCTGAATGACTGCCCACACAATTACCAACTAACCACTCATTTACCGTGGTGAAGGTTCCAGAAAGCCTGAGGTCTGCAATGGATCCTAATGTTGGTCTTTAATCACCGCACAGCTCTGACGATAGCCAAACAGTAAAGTACTATAAATACAACGATGCAGTTAGGGAGATTGTTGTACATGATTAAGTGCTCACAGTAGTTCGTTTTTTTGTCCACTAATGAGGGCTCTTCCCTGCTGCTAGATTGTGATGGTGAGTGACCACCCAAACCTCCACAACCTGACTAGTTCAAAACGGATCTCACAGTGCATGGAGGTCACCTGATGACCAGACAGGCCCTACAGCTAGAGGATTAAGGCATGAGGTCATTTGCAGTCCTGCATTAAGGAGATATGTTCCTGTTTTTAGTACACACGCACAAAAACACAAATACAATTAGTGCTGGAATAAGATGTTTGGTTCAATAACCTTGGGCCTATGATGAACAAGTTAGAGACAGTTGTTATGACTCAACTTTCAAAAACAGGAATGAAAATTTGATCATGCGTCAAAAAGTTGAGAAAATTCAGTGTCCTATAAAAGCGGTCTGTGCATCAATGCCAGAGCAGGCTGCAACTCTGTTAAATAAAAGAGATTATCCCTATTATCTATACATGTACATATTTATTTGATTGAGGATTTATAAAATAAAATAATCATGTTTATTCATAGATTGATTTTTATCTCATGTCTTTCTAAAAAACTAAGAATTTCTTTAAACATGGTGATTAAATTGTATCATGAACCTGATATCGTAATATGTAATGTATCATGAGTTGCATGTATCGTTATATCCCTAGTCAAGGTAATTTTTTCATGTTCTTCCTGAAATTATTTCAACTGAATGATAAATTGTATAAATAAGTACAAAATAAATTCATAATAAGAATGATTGTAAGTTGGGAAGTAGGAACAGGAATATTCCTTATTCCTGGGGCTGCACTTGCTTTTATCAGCAACAGATATTTTTTCCATTTTGAAAAAGATCTATTGCTGACCCTGCAGGTTTATTAATATGGGAGGTTACAATATCCAAAAAACATAGAATGGCTAATATTGACTGACAGCACGCTAGATCTGTTTTGTAACTCTAGCCATTGTTCACCTTAAAGCCTTTGCAAAGTCTTGTTAAGCTTCCCGTACAGAGTTAACTTGACATAAGCCAGGAGAGAACAGACAATCAATCTTTGTGCACAGTGTGGAAGTATAACACACAATGGGTGTTATTCCTCTCACCCACCCTCCTTCGTTTTTTCCCTGATCCCCCCCCCCAAAAAAAAACCGCTGCAGGAGGGGTGTTCAAAGCCGTCGCTCTGGTCCATATTCAAATGAGCGCTGCGTCTCCCCTCTGTGCTCCCGTTGCGATCAGCACTTTGATCACCTCCAACAGCAACTTCCACCAAAACATTTAAAATTAAAATCAAATCTGCCTTAACAACCTGAGCATTAGAATTTAACAGGTGTTCGAGAGGAAGTTGTTACAGAATTTGCAATTATGTGCTCGGATACACACACCTTTAGTCAGACACATGCATACGCACAACCTGTCAGTGAGATTACAGAGTGGGAAACAGAAAGCCCTCCTGACTGAGTGTTATACCTTGGGATACCTGATCTGTTCACTTTGATGTCAGTGGGTAAGAAAGTTAAAGAAACAAATCAGCCAGACAGCAGCTACATGTGTTCAGTAAACAAAAGTTTATATCCGTTCTTAGCATAGGTTTTATACAAGATATGTTTGTAATAAACTCTCAGTGCTAAAAAGTGTGATGGATGAAGATTCTTCATTCTGACCCTTGAAGGGAAGAAGAGACATAAGGTGAAGTGTATGTTCAGTGCCATAAATTAAGCATTCTGTACATAACTATAAACACACTTGCATTTTGTCCGTTAATGCATGTATGCACACATGCATGCCCTAGCTACACACACACACACACACACACACACACACACACCTCTAACTGCATCCTCTCTAAATGTAGTATTAATTACTGGGGGAACACTGCTGTACTGTATTTAATTACTGACTAAATGATCCATTTATATTTCAGTGCTGCTGAAATTAACAGGGTTAAGTGAGACCGGGCGATTGTAACTCACTTAACATTTGAGCTGATATCTTTAAACTTCCACAGTCTGGGGGCAGCCCTGTCAGAAAGTATCATCCAATCAAATTAAACAATTATAGTCTGCAGAGACACCGAAACTGCTCAAGTGCTGCAAAAGTATTATCTTGCACGGCATCAGCTACATTGAGTTATTTTATCTGCATGAGGAAAAAGTGAAAGTTGTGCTGCGGAACAGATTGAGTGACTAATTATAACAACAAATTCAACGTCTTCACAGCGCTGACAGAATAAGCCTGTATGGCTGAAGACTACATAATGCGTACAGCTGCTACTATTCTCAACCACTTCTTTGACATTGTGTGGTCTGAAAAACACTTATCATGTCATTAGGAGTCGTTAAAGGCCACTTTAGATGTTTCTGCAACATTAACTTCATACACATCTATTGCCTAAGGGTGACGGTTTCAAAAGGTAGTGAGCTAACTCCAAACCCCCGCTGACTGACAGAAGTAAAACTCCAACATCATCTTCAAGAACATTACTAGGCTCCAATTATATCACCTTTCTCCTCCTCTTATCTATGTTTGCTGTCTGACCGGAGAGCGTTAAAAGGACTCTCAGGTACTTGGGTGGGAGGGTAGAAAGAAGATGAAGTAAGAACGTCAAAGAGTGCATGCGAAGCCAGGACAGAGAGCTGGAGGAGATCAGATAGCTGACATGAAAGAAACTGGTGCAAAGAGAGATGGATAGATCAAGGGTGAAGTAGAACGATATTAACAGCCTGATTCCCAGTTAAAGACCACCACCACAGGCCATTCTGGGGCTTGTCAGTTATCGCTGTGCCTACTAATCAACCTACACATTGCTGTCTAGATATCGTATGACAATTAGGCACTAGCTTTGGACATATAACAGAGTTTTATCATATAACATGTTTATTATGTAGAAAACAGCATACATACATTATTCATGGAATCATAAGCATACATATCCTGTACCCACACGTGTATTAAAGTTCATCAAGTTCAGCAGCAGAGCAGCATTCTGATAAAAAGAGAGGAAACTTACCTTTAAGTTGGTTTGTCTGTTCGGCGAGGAGTGAAGAACTGTGTGCTGAGCATGTTGCTGTTGTTGTATTTGTTCCTTCTGCTGCTGTTGTAGCTGGGCCTGGAGTTGCAGGATATGTTGGTCTTTCTGAGCCAGAAGGCTGCTGAGCTCCTGGTGACTCTGACGGAGGCTGGCCTCGCTCGATGTGAGGGCCTGGTAGCACTGACTCAACTCCTTATACAACTGTCAAACAATTCAATAGGACAAGTAAATGTTAGAGAAGCATGCTTAGGGCTGAAGCGGAGGTGAACGGTCAAAGAAATGGGTCAAGATAGAGTATGTCAAATGGAAGAATATAACAGAAAACATTTATAGAGATTAAATGCTGCACTTCTATATTGGGACATAAAATACATAAACTGAGTTACAAAAAAAAGGCAAAAAGAAGAATAGAAGGACAAATAGAACATAAAGAGTATAGTATGAAGTCAGAATGAAAAATGTTGATGTTCAAGACAAATGCTTGTCCAACACCCCCTTGTATTGCTTTGAACCGCGAAATGTAACATCCATCAGAGAGAAAGAAGGAAGGGTTGTGAAAACACTCTCAGGAACAGGATACAGTGACAAAAGTATTTTTTGAGGCATAGTTCAAATCATGTCGGGTTAAAGATAGCTTGGAAATAAGTGGGGAGAGGCCTCAGTGTACTGCATCAAAGTTGTATTTAATAATGATGAGTTTGAGGTTTGGCCTGTGTGAATACCCTCTGATAGCAGGTAGTGTCAGCAGTATGGGCCTCCTCTTGGTTCCTCAGGACTTTCTGTGTGTCGAGGTTGAGTCCCTCCAGTTGCTTGATCAGATGGCTCTGCTCTGCTGCGTGCTCAGTGCTCTGTCTGTACAGGGTCTGCACTTCTGCATAGTCACGACTACAAACATACACACACACACAATGAGTGCTATAAAATTTCCAACAGTTCATGAACAGTGATTGTTTATATATTGTCTAACACAAAACATCAATACTGCCCTTATTGCATTAATCTCCTGAAATTTCATGTCAAAACTTTTGGATTTGATTTGAGACAATTGAAATAGAGAAATAAGGGGCACAGGTAGCCTAGCGTTTATGTCGCCTACAGCATGTACAGAGGCCATATTCCTCATGGCAGCTGCAGTGGGTTTGGATCAGACCCCCGCCCTTTGCTCCATGTCATCCACCACTCTCTCCTCCCAACATTTCCTGTCTATATTCAACCGTCCTATCTAATGAAGGCAAAAAGGCCCAAAAACTATCGAAATGGGAAAAAGAAAGAGAAAATAACATTGAAACGGTGTGATAAGGTCAAACAATATTAGAATTATGAACTCTTTCTTGAACTACTTTAAATAAATGAACTTAATTAAATATGTGAAAATGTATTAAATGTAGTATAAAGAAAATATAGATTGTAAATTATTTATACAAATAACCACAAAAGCGTTCTTAAAAAAATAAATTGCATTGTGTGATAAAGCAAGGACAGAAATAAGTTCATTAGACCTTTTTCAACAATATAAAGTACATCAAAGTTTAATGCTTAGTGTCCCAGGGATTTACCAGAGAGGCCTCCTCTAACTTATAAGGACATCTTTAATCACCTAGCTAAAACCTTCAGAACGGTCTCCAGTCCTGGTGTGACTGACACGTCAGAGTGCCTCTGGCATTAAAACAGAAAAGTAGTTAAAAAAGGTTGAGATTACCACTAAGACTCGTACGGTTCTCACAGTTTTTATCATATCGACTAAAGCTTAGTCAAAGCCTGCGCCGTTTCCCTTTTCTCCCCATTTTAAAGCACATCCACTATGCAGGGCTTATCAAGTGGCTTTAGGTGAGCCGGAGAGGAAGAAACCTGTGTCACCCACAAGCCTCACGGCATAGTAAGAGAGCTATATAACTACTTCATGCACACACTGAAACATGTGAGGTGTTAAATACATACTTATTTCTGTATAGGACAGATACACATTTCCTTAAACTAATGAAATGACTAAAAATGTTGTGGTTGAGACAACAAAAAAACAGACTCTGTGATATACTGGGCAAAGCTTCTGCTGTAAGGGCTCACCGGAGTTGATGGAGTGGGCCCTCTTTTGCTGCTAACTCCCTCTCTTTGGAAGATAGCTGTGCTGCTAGACTACTACTGTGGCTCTGCAGACTGGACAACTCTTGCCAGGCATTGTGTAGCTTCTCCTCCAACTCCTGTTATAAAAGAATAAAACATTTTGGGGGTTTTATCACTCAAATGTTTAGAAATCAAATCTCTAATCCATATTCATGTTTTCTTTTCTTTTTTTATCAATTACAAATTAGTGCGGTTAGGATGGTATACAATGACATAGAGCACTGGGATAAACCAAAATATCCCTCTAATAGGTCAGATTATAGTGGACAGAGATAATATACAATTTCATAAGTAGAAAATTCCATTTTGGCCTGAATGAATCTACATTCCTTCAACACTAACAGATGAGAACTATTCTGAAGAACCTATATCTCAAGGAATTACACCCAAATCTAAGAATGCCTTTTATACCAAACTGACCATTGTGCTGGCAGAGGAATCTGCTTTATGTAAGTTACTAATACAGTAATTCAATACTAATTAGTAACCCTCTCTGACAGCACCAACTCCATCAAATTACAATGATACTAGATATTTGTTAACCCCTTACTACTCAATACTACTGAAGTGTCTCATGGAACACATACTGCTCAGTTTAATTCTGTTTTCCATGTTGCAAATAGCTCACACTTTATATCTGCAACATGAACCTTAAGCCTCTTTCCAGGTTCCCAGTACGTTTTCGTATGACGATGTAATAGGCTTTAAGCACTGTCATGGTGCACAGAAGCAGAAATGGAAAACGGACTGCAGCTTCGCCTTTTACAATGCAGCAGATGTAAACAAAGGGTTAACGCTATAACATGTCAAGTAAAAAAAAAAACAGCAATCATGTTTGTTTGGAGTCCTAACATATCAACTTATGATCATTTATTCAAAAATAATTTGTGCAGTTCAGCTGGCACTAGGTAAGATGTCATAAGAATAAACATGAAAGGATTGTTCAAATTGTGTTATTGATCATTTTGTTTACATTATACGAACCTTAAATCCAAATGCACTGGATTAAATGATGCATTCTTGAAAAAATCTCTGCTGTATCAAATAAATTGGCATGATGGATCAGTGCACACCCTGTTCTTTCCATCTCCATCTTTTAAATCAAAGTGTGGTACAAAAATCAGGAACAGGTGGAGGGTCTTGCGCTGTGATGGATGTGCATAGACTAGTTCCTGAGCTTCCTTCTGTCCAAGTGTAATTACTCTGCAGCCCTGACTAATTCAAGACTTTCTGTCTATCTCCATTTGACTAGTGCAGCAATATGATTGATCACGACGGTCTATAAGGAAGAATGCTATGACACACGAGTATTAGCGGGCATCTGAATTCTTAAGGGCGATTGGAAGATGCAGCAGGTTAAAATGTGAACAAAAGATCTTTAGGGATTATGATTAGATTAAATTAATGTTTCGACAGCAACACGTCTGTCACTGTCTGTCTGATCCCTGTATTTTGTAACTCAATGTAGATGGGTATTGATTCATATTGAATCTGACAAATTCTTGTTTCATTTTAGGGAGAAGGACCAAAAAGAAAACTACATTATACCCTTACATGCAAATGACTTTATACAAGTTCCTTGCAGTTGCTCTCAGCTCAATTCATTTTTTAATGTTTGAATCATAATTAGCTCTCCTTTGAATGAAGTCCCTTCATATTTAAATTGTGTGCTTTTCTCCAGATATCTTCATATTCACATGCTGAGGAGGAAAAGGTATGAGGGAACAGAGGGTTCAAGGTGTGCAGAGGAAAAGAATAGCTTGAGGAAGGGTCCTGTTGAAGTTTTTGTGTCTGTGTGTGTGTGTTTGAATAGACTTGTCCCCATGTCCGTACCCTGACTCTGGCCTGGGCAGCCTCCCTCTGTTCTCGCTGGCTGTTGGCCTGCCTCTCTTTCTCCTCCAGGTCAGCTTGCAGGGCGCCGCAGCGGGAAGTTAATCCCTCTTTCTCCTCCTCTAGAGCCTGCACCACCTGCCGATCCTCCTCCTCTTTCCTCCTACTCTCCGTCTTAATTTCCTGGATAAGAGAGGTGTGTATGATAGGGGGAGAGAAGGGGGTCATGAGGGCCAAACAAACACGGCGACGGAAGGAAAGAAAAAGAAAAAGTCAGGATTCAAACAGAGAGAATGAAAAAAGGACAGTGGAGAAATACAAAAAGACGAGCAACCCATGGGGTAGAGGCAGAGATGAATATGTAAAGGGTTGAGGGGCTTTTCTGCGGGAGCCCCCTTCATGAGCCGCCAATTGGCCAAGGTCACCTATGCTGTATGACGGGGGCCCACGCAGCCAGATGTATGCTGGAGCAGGCCAAGCTGTGCTGCAAGAGCCGGGCTCATGCAGGTACAGGGGCCAGTGTGTAAGCTTTAATGACAGGCTCCTAATGAGAATGCTGTTCACTGCAAGACCCATTAGACTCAACCTAGGTCTCCTTTGATGCTGTCCCCCACAATTTCTCGCCATGAGACCTCACCAAGTCTGTGTAAGGACCATTCCTTTATCAATTAATCATAGCCAGGTCCCATCGAAGTATAATTAGGGAGAAGCCACAGCATCACATGACCCCTTTTCACTTTTCCCTACGGAAGCAGTCATTAAGTATTTATCTGCAAGTTAACAACCTGCTTTTCCTACTTTTCCCCTCTCTCCCTCGATCTCTTTCGCTTACCCAAACACACTCACAGACTGTTAAGTATTCTCTGTTGTCACTTTTAAATAAAGAAAGCTAAAAGTAAGAAAGGTTGGTACAGAGCAAGGGTTATGAACCAGAGTTTGGTGCAGCAATCAAAATGACTCAAATACCAGTGGCTATAGAGACAGTGGGCACGTCGTGTTCAGTGTCACACAGAAACATGACTTTTTGACTCGAAGGTCCACACTGCCGAAGAAAATGTGTTCCACCAACCTGATCCTCTTGACTCTTTATGGCCAGTTTTTCACGTAAAGTCGTCAGCTCCTTCTTCATTAAGTCATTCTCCTCGTCTGCTGTCGTCCTCCTCTGTAACAAGTTGTTTATTTCATGCTGCCATCCAGTCACTTTCTGTGGCAGACAGTGAGACCAAAAAGTCACAGAGAGAAGGAGGAAAAGAGAGACATTAGAGCCACAGGTTGCATTATACTCCAAAGTCTTGGAAACTCTAAAATAAACAAGGGTTGGCATTCAGATCAGAGTTTGAATTGTGACGGCCCTCCCGCCAGCAGGGCCTGCTGTTGTGCTTTGCCCTTCTGTGTGTGTGTTTTGTTTACCTGATGGACACTGGTGGGTGGTTTTCTGCCTCACCTGGGCAGACCTGGCCAGTCTCTCCGGTGTATGCTACTTAAGATCCGGCAGTCTACCCATTCACTCTCTCATTCAGTCCCAGCCTCTCATCATCACTACAGCTTCTCGTCGCTTAATACTTTTGTTTGATTTTGCCAATGTTAGTTTAATTTTACACCTTACCACAAGCCGCACACTCCACACACTCATCTGACAGCCGACACACTTATTAATTGACACTTAACTCTCTTTGTAAATTGTTATAAATTTGGTAGTTAAAAACGTACGTTTCCCTGGTTTTTGTCAGGCCTTTAGAGCCGGGTCATGACAGAATTAAACATTAAAAATAAAACTTAAAACATTTAAAATATTGAATAAAAAATTGATCTGTAATGTATTAATATTATTAGCTTTGTTAGCATTAATCACCATAATAATAATAATAATGAAAAAATAAAGAATAATCAATTAATAAAAAAAGAATGGAAAATGACCAACACAATTTTAAGGGTATTGATTGATGTCAGCCTTATTATATTATATTCTCACCTTTACAATCAGAAATCACTGCCTTTAAAATTAAAACAACTTTAAAACAATTATTTAACAAAACAATTGGTATTAATTTTTCGGTCAAGACACATATTGATGAACTAAAATTTGAAGTAATGAAAAGAAATGAACGGCGTATATAAAACTATTTCGATCAAACTTAGCTTAATTTTGATCTAGAGTGAGTCACAAAGTATTATAAAGCTCCATTAAGATCAGTCCAATCATTTTAATGGCAGTCCTCTTTTCATGCTGTTAAATGTTCATTTCATGTTTTTGTGGCCTAAGAAGGAGGAGGCTGGCCTCTTAACACTACATCAGCTGGGGTTTGGCATTGGCTGGTAATCCAGAGCCTTCTGTGGGTACACCCTCCTCTCAAATAACACTGTGCTCTGGGATGCAATTAATTGCCATGTTGAGGGAAAATCGCTCAGATATATCCAGATAGAGGATTTAGCGTTCCTCGCTACTCCTAGCTCGCTGTGCTAAGAACAGAAGGGCTTTAATAGAGATTTATACTGGAGAGCAGAAAATAAATTCAAACGTTGATAATGAGGTAGGCGAGAACAATTTGAAGCCCAGAAGTGCTCAATTGATAGAAGAGAAAAAGGGAGGGGGTTCCTCCAAGTTAGGAGGTCTAGGACAGAAAGATTAGCATTTGAAAATTCCCAGTGCAGTTCAAAAATGAAAGCTAATTATGTTCCAAAAATGAAAAAGGAGTAGTCAGGGCAGTATATAGAGGGGGAGATGGAATTAAAGAAAGGGAATAGGAGAGAAAGAATATTGTCAAAGTTGGAGAATTGAGATATCAAGAGAAGTGTAAGATCCTATAAGGAGTCAGTGGACCATTACCTCTCCCAGAAAAAAAAAGGATGAAAAAACAATTATTCCCTATTAAGGTTTGTATGGTTCCAGACTGTTGTGATGAGATGAAGATGGTCAGAAGGCCGAATGACACTCAGTGCTCTAAATAAGATTCTCAAAAGGTCTGCTTTAACTTTTGTTAAAAAGGTAAGTTTCATTACTATCATTTAAAGAGGAGAACGAGACAACTTCTACGTAAAAAAAAGACTCATTGAGGGTCCTTCTAGAAGGAAAATACAACTCCACCTACATATTTAAAAAAAACCTGGCAAGCTGATGACTCTATAACAAGCAGTCTCATTAAAAAGAGCACAATTCTGGATGAGGGACGCTAATGAAAGAGACTGACAGACGCTTCAGTGAAGGGATGATGATTTGGAGTAAATTACATTAGTGATGTCATTATCGTTAGCCATTATACAGTCAGGAAAAATGACTCACGGAGAGAGGCACAAGAAAGCAGGTGAGATATAGAGGAGTTGGAGGTGTGCAGTTGAAACACACACATTTAACCAACATTTGAGTAAGTTAAGAATATATTAGTCTTTGTAATCACACCCCTGAAAGAGAAAGATGATTTCATGCAGGATATTTTAAAAAGCCGTAAGTCAAACGAAACAACATAATAAAAAGGCTTTTCATTAAAATTTCAGAGAAGTAGTTTGGAGAGTGTTGGTTGGAGAGGTTAACGAGACACACCCTCATTTTGAACCTTTGGACAAGGCGTTGCTAAGGGCGGTTACCCCATAGTTGCTCGACTGATGCTGATCATTGGCCAACAGATATTACATATAGGATTTAAATTTATTTGAAATGCAATTGTATGTTTTTGAAAAAAGTAGGTTTACTTTAGAAATAAAATCTGATGACTGATTTCTACTTGACTGAAACATCTTATTACCAACAACTAGTCACTATTACCAGATTCATAATTCAATTCAAATTGAATTAACCCTCCTTATATTCATCTGTCTAAGAGAGATTCAGTAAACTCAGAGAGTTAGAGCAAACTGTTCTCTGTACCTGTTCCAGCTCTTGTATCTTGTAGTCTTTGGACTGAAGGATCTCCAACACTTTTCTGTCCTTCATCTCAGCTTTGTGCTTCTCGCTATAAGAGAAAAGAAAAAGGAATAAAGACACAAAAAAATTACAAAAACAAACAGAAATCAGTGTATTCAGTTCGTTAGCTGGTCTGATTGGTCTGATGTCATAAAGTTTCGGGGATAGATTACTCAATAACTTTTAGTGTATCACTGAATTTACAGTCTTGTAGAACATGTTCAATAGATTTTAAAACATTTCAGTACCTGGAGAGCATAATTAAAAAAAAAGCATTTTATATTATTTAAATTCTGTTCATATAGTAAATTAAACCTACACTTATAAAACTGGTTATGAAAGGAGAGCTGCTGCACCAAACTTTTCTCTCTAGCCCACAAGTACCTCTTTTATCCTAATGAACTTTCGGAGAGACAAAAACAAGGCATCAATTGGGGACCTGTTTGTTTGGACTGCTTTAGGCCACCAGGGGCCACCCATTCCCTCCACTCATCACTTACTCCTACTACACCTCCCATCCTCGAGGCCCTTTCTCTCGTCTCTCTGCCTCTTCTGATCAGCCCTCTCCCCTGGCAGACAATGAAATAAGTATCTGGTGTCCCTGGAGGGGCTGGAACGCAAGCCGGCCGAGCTACATCTCCTTGTATATTGGCCTGTGTTCACCATGTCCTGAGCAACCAACCAATCACTCTACAAGATCCTCACAGGAAGGGGAGGGGGGGAGGGCAAACGGCGGTTCCCAGTGGGCACCAGCGCTTGACTGGAGTCGACACAATTACCATGTCAATATCCTCCTGCGCATCAGGTGATACAATACACATGCACTCTCTAGGTGCATGTTTCCCCCCCCCGACATCTCAGTGGACCAACATACTTTGATGGGTTTCCTTTGCGGCTATAAAGGAACTGAAGAGGATGAGGAGAAGGAATGAGAGGCACAGATACAGAGGAACTGCACGCTGCTGCATTACTTTTTACCCCTATTGAGGGTCTACTAACAACCATCAGGCCCCAAAAAGCATGTGATATGTACCCATGATAGTAAAAACTTTTGAATAAAGTTTTACATGCATTTCATTGCCAGATAAAACAAATCGAAGTAGAAAAAAAAACTGCTCAAACTGACGTGAAACCAGCATCAAAGGTAATATAAAGCTGTGGAAGTTTTGGTTTGTACCCCCTGTGGACAAAGCTGAACCTCTTAACTTATTGCTGACCTTGTCTTGTACATAAGTAGTATTTTCTGGAAAAGAAAGTCATACTAACCTTATTTTAGATGTAGAAAATGCAAATCAATATGAATCTCTGGTGAGTATATTTTTAAAGTCTGTTTTCTACAGTGTGCTGTCATTCGGCTTGGAGGACATCAACCCCCCAGAAGAGGTGACAGGTGTAAAAAAAAACTATATAGAAATAACTTATCTTCTCTCTGATTTTCTAGTTTGTTTTTTTAGGTCATATAGATGCTTTAGTAATAATTTCAGTCTGTGTATTAACGAGATAAAACTCCTCAAAGGAACTTTAAAGTCAAACTTTTTCTTCATAATAACAGGGGGTATATATATTTAATTTATCCAACTGTGAAAAGACCTGGACCTCTGTTCTTTTCTGAAAGTTCCCATGCCACTGTGTTTGGAGTGGCTTAGCCACCCTGCAAAAGAGGTCATATTCAATCTCACAATTTATCCGATAAAGACGAGTATTTGGCAGGAGTGTTTCAACTGTCCAGAGTGGGTGCTGCAGAGGAAGAGTGTTTTCATTAAAAGGGTTTCCATGGTTGAACTGCTAGACCGGGGATAAGAAGGCTTAAATCAGCATCTGCACCAGATTCCGTCGTAACCCCCGCAGGACGGCTGAGGTGCCTTAAACACCCCTTGAACGACTTTTCACACATATTTCCCTTCGCTCATGAGATAAAGGAATTTTCAGCTACTGAGCCTCTCAGGTAGCAATTTGAAAGATGAATCTACTCACCGCTCAACCACCAAGCTGACAGCCTGGGTCAAGTCTGGATTTGCCACTTGCAGGCGTTTCCATAGGGACCACACAAACTCCTTGTCTGCCTGTGAAAATAAAGGATTCAGTGAGTCAACAGCTGTTATTCCTGATTGAGATAAATAGCTTTAGATACATTTGTCTCACAGTGCAGTAAGACTTAAAAGGAAAGCTTCAGCACATCTCAGCATTTCAGGCTGAAAAACAAAAAATGAACAGGATGCTCAGTGACATTAGCATACGACAGAAGGGGGAGGCAATCAATAATTTAAATATCTTGTACAAAATAGTTTTTGATCCGGCCTGCCCTCTCTAATCATGAGCCTCTCCTAACAGGGATCTTCATCACTGAGATGTGACCTTGGACTCAAGGGGAGCAAGCATTGACACTTGTCATTATGCACTATTTATGACTGGGGAGAGCTGGGATCCAAATCAAAACACAGCAGTCAGGCTTGCATTTTCCTTATTAATCAATTGCGCTCGAGATATGTTTTCCTCCACAGCTCCAAAGTAACTAGCCCCAAAGAAACTCAAAACTGATGACAGAGAGAGTCATCTTCAAGTGGAGAAACCCAGCCAGCCTCTGACACATTTCCAATTCAAATTGTCTCCCTCTGCTTTTTCAAACATTTTTAAGCTACATTACATTTAATGAGGGACATCTAAAAACTACATTTTCTGACATTAAAAGACAGAATTATACCAAATCGACTTAATATAAAATTATCTGATAAATTATGTTCACATCATCATAAGATAAAAGTCATCCCTCCCACTGGAATCTACTGGTCTCCAATTAGTACATGAATTTTAACCCTCTTTTCGAAAGTGTCTCATCAATTATTTACTCAAATGGCAGAAGCAGACCTTGATAAGACCATGAGCTCAACATATAAAGTAGAAGGACTGTAAATTTCTGTCTTTATATGCATCTGTGTGTGTTTGTGTATATATGTATACTGTATAAACAGAGGCAGAGAAGAGGGATAGAGTACTCTTCAAATCAGCCCTGCAATGCCACTAACGATTAAATGAAGCATTACAGTTTGTTTGAATGTGATGGTTGGTCTCCCTCTGCCTGGCCTTTGGCTGCCATTAGTAGTTCCACAGACAAGTGTTCAGCCTGGACCCTCATCAAGAGCTCTCCTCAGCCGTGTGTGTATTTAAACATGCATTGATGTGTGTTTGATGATCGCTGAATTATTAAATTTTTTCAATCTAGACGCTGAAATACCATGGGCCAAACATACCACAGGCAGCCACTGGATCTCAGCCACATATTAATAAAATTAGAATGGTCTAGTAGGAACATTTTCTGGCCGACAGATGAGACTCTTTGTAGTTAATGGCTGTCCTGAAGTACATCTTGCCAGAGACTTAAGACATCAATGGTATTCAAATGCCACTATTTAAATGGTACACTGCACAACTAAAGGTCCTTATGAGATAGACAGAATCACTGATGTTCTGCTAGACAAGACCACCAAGGATGGTGTCTATGTCAGTTCAATGGGCAGCAGGGACCGTCTCAAATGATCAGGGGTATACTTACACTGTGATAATGTAGTGATTAAGAAAAGAAAGGCGTGGGTCTCAGTCCAAAGCTGCACTCATTTGTTTGTCAACATGTTTGAGGACAAAAGCCCTCTCAATGCTATAAAAACATACACTGTTGTAAAATTGTATTATGTTTTAGAGTGGTCCAAGAAGACTGACAACTGAAAGGACGGAAAGAGACAAATATGTCTATGAACAGCAGTTACCCGGAATTATGAGGAATAGAAGAAATAACTGGTCATTGGTTAAGAAACTGTGAGTTTGATACTATTCAATTTTGTCTACAATCCAATTTTTACAGAAAAAAACATCAGAAAGACTTTTGATTCCAAACTTTGTACCCTCTGTACATAGATTTGCGACACTATTCTCTAGTGAGTCTCGATATATCCTAGGATTAGACGTCAAACTCCCCTCATGTCAAACAAAACTTTAAACACAGCATAAATAAAGGTAGCAGGTATAAATGCAGTTTCTGTCAAACAACAACAACACCACAACAAATGTTCCTTCCCCTGGTGTCAGATGGTGTCTGTAGTCTAATAAAAACCCAGATGTAACACATCATGTGCTGAGCCTCACATCTGTCCGTCTACCTATATAACAAGGTACAGTATGCAAAGTGAGGATGCTTGGTTAAGTTCTCTCATGTTATTAGGCACCACCTGGTGGTGAGTATGCACGGACACCATCCCTCAATCACTGACTCACAAAGTGAACATGAAGGCTTCTCAAATCAGCTCATGAGCAAGTTGTGGACTTTGTTTTTTTTTTGAGAAAACAACTTAATGCACTTTGAAAGAAGATAACTGTTGCACATTATATACTATCTTTGATCATCATTGCCTGGTCATTCTGAGACTTTTCAGTGAAAAGCATTGATGACTAAATTATTAAGATATTATTTATGCAATCAAGCTAAATCATTAAAAAAAATAACTGTGAACTTTAGTCATTAGCCCGGAAAGCATATTTCATGATGCAACGTGATAGCTTTTGAGTTCGATTTTGTGGAGATGAAATATGAACAGCTAAAAACAGCTGTCCACCTCCACCACCATGCTCCCTAGGAATCCTTTGATTTGAAGTATTGTTAGCAAAGAGGAGACACATAATGTATCTTATAGGTGAGTCATAAGTCAATCTGTGAACAAAATGAATTTAAAAAAAAAAAAGGTCATTTTGATTTAAACAGAACTGCTTTAAGTTCATCGTTTTCTGCCAGATATAAAAGTGAAAAATAAGAATGATGGTTGAAAGTAACTCAGAGATTAAAAATCTAATTGTTTTCCACCAATAAAGGAAATATACCGTACTTATGCTTCATCGTATGTAAATCTTGTTGTAAAGAAAAATTGTCTGATGCATTAGTGCACTGTCAGTGTCACACTTCAATTGTAACTCTTAAGTTAAGGATACTACATAAAGCATTACCTGAAAGCCAAGTGAGCCCTAAAACGGTCAGCACTTGTATAAAGTTATTATGTTAGAAGAAAGCAAGCCCTCAATATTTGTGCTTCCTATAATATAATACATTTTAACAGTTACAACAATGTATTTGCACATCTCTGTGCACACACACACACATTCATACATACATACCTGGCACTGCAGTAACTCGTCTGATAAACTCTGTACCTGCTCCTCCAGAACCAGGACGCGAGAGTCGTCTTCAGAGGACATTTTGGGACTAAAAAAAGAAAGCAAAAATAACAACTGAGGATCGTTTAGAGCCTCTAAAGTAAAAAACCTGCTGTGCAGCGACAGTATCAGCATATTGAACGTATGTAATCACACAGCTTATTCGAGGCGAGTTTCTGTTTTTTGAAAGCTACCTAGTCAGGGGATCCGTATTTTACATCTTATGTTAGCTTTATATATGCAATAATAGCACACTGGAAGTGAGAGACTGTACACAGTTTGTCCTTTACCTTTATCGATAGCTCGCTAACCAGGCAGATAGCAGCTACTGTATATATCTAAGCTAGCGTTAGCCACATAATAAACACTGATGTTTTCCGTCCCCCTGTCTGCTGTTGACATCCTTCAGCGTCTTGTCACTTTACCCAAGTGCGTCACTGCATGCTTCAACGGTAGAGTACACTTTAAAGCCTTTTCAACAAAAACCAAAACAAACTATCTGGTACGAATCACACGGTTGTCAATGACTACCGAGGCGTCTTCTACCTCTCAGTTTCAAACAAGCCCGCTGTTTTTTCCGTTTCAGTCCGGTCCCTCCGCGTCATCGAAATCACATCAGTTTACGACAGGTACCGTCACCGTACGGCAGAACGAGAGGTTATCCGGATCCAAAATGCAGTGGTTTCTAGAGGTGGGTCAAAAATAATCACAAATTGTTTTTTTTTTTTGTGTGTGTGTGTGTGTGTGTGTGTGTGTTTTCAATACGTTTAACACAAATTCAGCAAAAGTATAGATTAACAGGGGAAACTCTGGGTCAAACTTTGATACTCTTCAGAACCTTGTCTTCTTATTGTCTTTATTTATATAATAAGGCCACTTAAGCAGTAGGCTACTATACCTGACCATAGGCTACTATCCTTTTCCCCCTAGTTAAGCATATTTAATGAGGAGCCTTTGTGTTAAAAAAAAAAGTTTGAAAATCAATAGACCAAACCTAACAATTGTTTTCTAGGCCATAATTTTTTCTAGGATTGGGCCTTCAATACTTTTAAATGATCTGTGGCCTATTTGTTTCAACACCCAAATAAGCAGCCTTTTATAAGGATATTAACTATATATAATATAAATATATTTCTTCAACTTGTTGATCACATTTGAAAGCATAAACAAATAATAGTAAACAATGATTGATTAGAAAGAACAGCGTCCATAGGTTCAGATATCTTGACATATGAAATCTTGATTGTGTACATTGTTAGGCGGTGTGATGAATTGCCCTGGTGGCGACTTCTTCAATCAGCTCATGTCTCCTGCTGAGCTCTCATCAGGAGCACATTTTAGCTGACCAAGGCCAACTCTGAGCAACAGTTAAAATCAAGTTCATATCACTATGGCTGAAATCCATTGGCTCTAAATTATGAATAACTTATATGTGAGAGAATTCTTAAACGTCTGATGCAGTGGATGGTGAATATGCAACATTATGTGTGTGCAATGATACATCTGTGTTTTCTGCTCACTTAATCACTTTTAGGCTTATTATAGCATGCTGAGCTGGACTTAATAGTAGGCCAGTTACCTTTCTAATAAGGGTCAGGCCATTTTTTAGATGTAATTCAGGGCCTTACATCCCCTTGCTAGTTAAAATGAGCAAATGTATCTGATGACATTTTACAGTAATCTATTGCATATCTCGAGTCAATGAAGGTTGAATGACCCTTGTTTGCACTCTGTCACACTGTCACACTATCGCTTGTTACTGAGCTTGAATAGAACTCAGCAGTCACAGCAGTCTGTGTGTTTCATAACATCAAATCAAATCAAGTGAAAACATGGACCAAAAAATGAACAAAGGTTCATTCCAAACCCTCTACAATTATTCCAGGACATTCAAAACACTAAAGCGAAATGAAATGTTTTATAATACAAAAAAAGAAGATAATGTGTTAAAATACTGTTATTCATCCTGTATGTATTTTGTTAAAAATTTCCATCTTTCCATTTTTATTTCTCTTGCATATTAAATACATTAAATGTTGTCTGATTTTCTGATTTAAATTGTTTGTCATAAAGTCTGATTTAATAAAAAAGTACACACTAATCTTATTTATATTAAAATGTCAATTTAATTTAAACCTCAAAAAGCTATCTTTGTGATGACATTCGAAGACTTTCAGACTAAACTAGTTTTTATGAGCGTAGCACACACATGATGTTTCAAAAACAATTAGAAGATAGGATTTATTATGTCCAGATTTCATTTAAACAGTGCCTAAAGGTCGACAAGTGAGATCAAACCCAAAAAGTGTAATTCAAAAGTGCAACAGAAAACATCAAAGAAATGTGTCAAATGACAGCAACATAAAGAAGAAACGTATTCATACAGGACTTTTAGCTGTTGAACCATTTCACACACATGTAGTGCATAGAATGAGTCCCCATGTGTGTGCAAGTGCTCTTTTACAAGCCTATAAATCCCTGTTGTTATGTCAAAGATCAACATGAATAACAGTGAGGAAAGATGACACTGAGATCTGATATTGATCTTTATGGAGCTTTTTAATGCTTCAAATGTTGTTTTTCCTTTTATAGAAACACTCATATCTAACTCCTGTTGATACTTGTCCTTTTAATGATCTATCCTGAGGTCAAAGACATTATGCACAATATGTCTTGTATCTTGAATCCATAAGTGGGAGCAAGAGAAAATGAACAAAGACATGTTTGACATCTGTTTGCTGGTGAGACAAGACATCTCCATATTGTGTGGTTAATGTACTTAAAGGTCCAGCCCAGGATTTGAAACACAGGGTGAGAGAGGAAAATTAAGAAATATGAGGACTAGCACTTCTCGTCAGTTAGACAAATGTTGGTTCATCTGCTCACTGCTTCACACACACATACATGCAAAGAGACAAGATGCAATTGACATAGCATGATTAGGCTGTTCCTTGACCCACGAACACTGCCTCTCATTAAGGTCCTCATTTGCGGAACAATTTCAGAGGCAGTAGACTGGTACATAATGTGCAACATCTGCCTGTTCCCTGTTTCTTGTACAGACACACAAACTGACACATGGCACACATTAATTAGTTTAAACTACATCTATAGATTTAAAATACAGTTATCACAAGACTAAACCAGCCAGAGACAAAAAAAAATGTCAGGCCCACTTTCTTTTACAATAAAGCTTGAAAGTGACTCATTAGGAAGCGGTAAAATACAGTGAATATAGTGATAAATCAAAACAATTCTCTCTGATTGAGCCAGTAACTCAAAGGGATCTTCTTCTTACCATCCCTTCTTTCATCATCAAAATGCATATAATTTGGCCCCAGACACTTCCAGTCACTTGCATGTTGCACACAGACATGTCCCACCATGTTTTGACAGTTCCTCCTGCTGCTGCTCTTTCCTACAGTATATGTCTGAAGCAGCTTGTAACTCCTTCTTTTAAGTGTTTGTTGTCTGTGCCACTAATGACAGATTAATCCACATCTGAGAGTGTTTTAGGCACATAAAAGACAGACCTCGGGGGAAGGGAGTCTTATTTCTCCAACGATGAGCTTCCTGCATTTACAGTGAAACAAACTTGAACACCTTTACTTTTAACACTGTCATTGTTTGATTTTAGGCCTGCCTCTTCAAAACCATCACTAAAGGGCGTACACTTAAACGATTACCGCTGCATGACGTGTTGCAATATTTAGTCCACAGGTTTTGTCATGTGTGGGGTAAATGTTTCAAAGTCTTTGTTGTGATATTTGGCCATAAGAGTAAATCATCACTACCTTAACAATATATATATTTTCTTTATTGATTTATTATTAATATATATATTTGTCTCTTTATATTTTTTCACCTATTTATTTCCATTTATTGCTTGTTTCTCAATATGTTAAGAATGTTAAAGTGTTAAGAGTATCTAATAATCGTGATTAGAATGTTTGCCATCATGTAGCAGCTCTACCTATTTGCTCTCAAAAGTTGTGATTTTTACATCTTAAACTGGAAATTCATACTGCAAATTATAAAAGACTTATCCGTTTAAGTCTGCAAGGTACATTTGCTTCACGTCTCTTTTTGGTTTTCTTGGCATAGTTTAGTAGGTATGTGCGCCGTGTACGGAGGCTGAAACCCTCAAAAGGTGGCCAGCGGTATGAGTCCGACCTGTGGCTCATTTCCTGCACATCATTCCCCCCTCTCTCTCGCCCTGGTTTCTGACTCTATCAACTGTCCTGTCTCTAAATGAAGGCAGAAAAAAACGACATTTTTAGCTTTCTGTGGGTTTTACCATTATGTACACCATTACTATCTTACGAAACTGCAAAAAAATCAAACATATGTTTGCAGTTTAAAAATCCTTATGTCATTGAACATTATCTTTTAAGAGTACATATTGATGCAACTGTTTTGTTTTTGGTCTTTACATTTCTATTGTTTGTTTGGCGACTGCTTTTTTATTTTCTGGCTGATCACCCGGGCAAAAGATTGAACCCACAAAGAGCGGTTTTCCTGATTGTTTTAATCTTCAATTATAAAATCTGAAATATAACTATTATAACTAAGTCAAGAGTTTTCACACCTAACCCTTACTTCCTTAAAATCACATCAATATAAATAATCAAATTAATAGTAAAAGACTTGTCGTTTTTTTGTATAAGTAACACTGTCACAAAATGAATCATACATACCTTGTTAAACTTTATATTTGACAACATCTCTGTTCAGCAGAAACAGTCTGTTAAGAAAACAGAGTGTATCCTACATTCAATTCTATTTTTAGCTTGTCTGCTGCCAGTCATGGGAGTTGTGGTTTTGTGACTGTAAGTCTGTGACGCTACAAGAAACACTCATTCTGAGTTAAAACGAGTTCGAAAGAAGTGATCACTACTGGCATTAATCAGAGTTCAAAGATATTTTCTTTGTAAGTTGTGGTCAGGATATCTGTGTAGAGGGTATGTGGAGTGTTTAGAGCGAGATATGGTCACGTGATAAAACATGTTCATCTGACTGAAACAGACGACTTTTCTGTCATGATTAAAACATCTTTTAGCAGTTGGGGTTTTTTTTAGATTTATTTTTGGGCTTTTTGTGCCTTTATTGGAGAGAGAGGACAGTGGATAGAGTCAGAAATCAGGGAGAGAGAAAGAGAGTGGGGAATGACATGCGGGCAAGGAGCCACAGGTAGGATTTGAACCCGGTCCGCAAGCTTGTTGGACTACAGCCTCCATACATGGGGCACGCGCACAAACCAATGAAGGGGGTTTCTAGTTGTGTTGCTTTCCTTACCTACCTGACCAAACTACTTAACCTGTCACTATAGCATAGCTTTTTTTTAAAATGGTAAATAGACTTGAGCTTTTATAGCTTCTAGTCTTCTGACTACTCAAACACTTTTACTCTGCATGTCACACCTACCCATTCACACACTGATGGTAGGGGCTTCTATGTAGTGAGACCATCAGTAACTAATCCTTTTCATCCACATTCATACACTGCTGACGAAGCAGTGGGAGCAATTTGGGGGTTAAGTGTCTTTAAGTGGCCTTCCGGTTAAGAGACGACGACTCTACC